CACACACACACACACACACACACACACACACACACACACAGTCAAATCTACTCAGAGCCTTGCAAAAGCTATTGACCCATCCTCCATGCTCACCCACCCACTTCTGCTACCCACTTTCTTCTTTTGTTCCCCTACAAGAGAGGAGTTGGGCCTCTTCCCCAGAAAGGGCTGAACAGCATTTCAAAGAAACTTTGGGGGCCACATTCTAGTACTGAGTGGGGAGCAAATGCAAAAGAGGTAGGACCAGAAGTATCACATTTTACCAAAGTTCTTGCTGCTAGTAACCAGGCCTTTGGTGAGTCATTTTGACCTTTCACAAACAAGGGGGAAGAAGCAGCTCAAAAGGCAGGAAATGCTTGTTGGTGGGGAAAAGGGGGGAAGTGTGCCTGGCCCTCTTGGCAGCCCCCCAAAGGTCTGGGCTGGAACCCTGGGCCTGAGATTGTGTACCCATCCCCTGCAACATGGATGGACTGCACTGGCCCACAGTCCCCATCCCCTTGCTGTCATTTACCTGTGGAGGGCTGGGTAGGGTTATCTACCCCCTCCCCACATGACTTGCCCCTCCATGCCCTGCAGTGCAGCACAGCTGCAGCACAACCATCAAAGAAATGGCAGCCAGCACTATGATGCTCTAGAGGCTCTCTCTCTCTCTCTCTCTCTCTCTCTCTCTCTCTCTCTCTCTCTCTTTCACACACACGCGCGCGCGCACGGCAGCACCCTTTGAAGAGGAGGGCCAACAGAGAAAGGATGCTGCTATTTATCTGCAGAAAAACAGGGAACGGGGGGGGGCACCACAGGGAGAAATTGGTAGCAGCTGCTGTAGGGAAATGAGACTTGTTCAGTGAGCACTGACCTGCTCAGGTAGGGCAGTCAGCATCAGACCCCACTAGGCTGGGCCAGAGGAAATTGCACAGCTGACGACATACAAAGAAACACACACACACACACATGCACGCAATCACGTTCTGCTATGATGGATAATATGTGAGAAACCTTGGCCAGTGGTCTCACTTCCCCATGCAGGTGGGCAAGAAGGGCTGGGCCAACTGGCTCCCTGCTGCGCCCATTTTCTGCCTGCAGAGGATGTACAGATGTTTTACAGAACATCCGTTAATTCCATCTGTCAGCAGCTGCCTGAAGTGGTATGAGCCTGTCTATAGGGCTGTGGCTCTACCCCCTCGTTCTGCTGCATGTGTAGACCAAGCCTGGCGAAGTGGTTTGGAACAGTATCTTGTCTTTCACACTAACACACACTTGTACTATCTTCAGGTGTAGGTTGCCCTGTATATCAAAATCACAACCTTTCCACCAGCCCTATGATTTGATCAAACTATCTTTTCTGCCATGTTTGGGCTCATGGATTTAAGATTTAGAGCAGCCTTCCCGAACCTGATACCCTCCAGATATTTTGGATAATAGTGCCCATGACTGTTGTGCATGGATCATGCTGGATGGGGCTGATGGGAATTGAATTCCAAATGAAACAGAGTGCACCGGCTTGTTGGGGAAGGCTAGTTTCACTGTGCCTAGTCTAGGAAAGAAGACATGCCATCAGTAAAGAAAAATAAAAGGTCTGTTTTTCTTTCTTCTTTTTATAAGTGAATGGCCCTGTTTGCATTTCTGGACTCTGCATATTGACAAGCAGTCTGACTGAAGCCTCTACAGGCCTGCAATATGCAAAGAATTCAGACTGCTTTATTCACATCAACTGCTGGAGCTTTCTAAGCTATTGGAGTGAATAGATGTTGAATCAGAGCCCCCATTCTGAAGCCAGTATCAGGAAAGTGAGAGACTTCACAAATTCTGTCACTGTCAGTAATCTCAAATTATGTAACTGACATTTACAGTAAACATTTTTAACTCATCCATGGTATATACTCTTGTTTTTGAGCTGGATGGGGCTAATATATACATCTTTAAAGTTGCAATCCTAAAGTACAAAGATTCCTTCAATGTGCAAACCTATACATGTCAACTCAGGAGTAAATTCAACAGGGCTTGCTCACTTCGAACTATGCACCACTGGAAACAAAGGGACTTTCTTTCGAGTAAACTTGTGCAGGAGTACACTGTGAAGATACCTTTGGCTATTAGTGCCCCTCCTGGGTCAGGTTGGGTGCAGTTTCTTGAGCAATAATGCAAATCACACTTAAGGGATGCCAGTTGGATCTCTTAAAATACACAAAGTTGTGTTCTGCTATGCATATATGAATGTCATAAGTACCTTCGAGGAACCATAATGCACTGTAGGTGACTTGTGTTGATTCCGAGACACCACACCCGTGGTGGGAGGTGGAGAGCCTGGCATTATGAGCACACCCTTTCAGGTCAACTGGCGAGGTCCCTAAGACCAAGGCAGTGCAAAGCACAGGTGTGAGGAAGGAAGCGCAACTCACAGCGGGACTCACTTTGAAGTCAGCCTGTACAGGCTGCAACCCTGTGCACAAATATGCTGCAGAGCACCCCACTGAACTTGGTGAGGCTTAGTTCTGGGGAAATGTGTGCGAGGTATAGGGATGCACCTAACAGCATTTGGGAATGAAAGCCAACAGTAAGGTTTGTAAATATACAAATTCATGTCCATAATTACACCAAATGAGCCACAACAGGACACGCAACAGGACACCAATCAGTCAAGCTAGAAGCATTGATCAATTATCCCATAAAGGCCCTTGCCCACAACACAGAGGACTCCAAAAGACAAGTTACAATGCCACAAATTGCACTGATCGGTCACTTCAGGTCCCCGTCGTTCTCTCCCTGAATGGATTTTTTGATGCGAAGCAACATGGTTGTCAGCCATTGGTCCAAGCGGGATATTGAATCAAATTCTTTAACCTAGCCATAGGTTTGAACAGGTTAGGAAATAAAGTATAACTGCAGCATTTTTATTTTACTTTCATCTATTAAATTTAAACAACCTACAAGGAAAATAAGATTAACACTCCTGTGATCTCTAAGCTGCAACAAAATCAGAGACAGAGAATGGAAACCAACTCTTCCTGCTGCTAGATGACATATTCCTGGAAAAGTGGAGAAAACCACCAAAAGAAATGGGATATAAAAAATGTTTTCCCCAGAGATGTTAGTGAAATTTGGAAATTTTCCCTAATTTTTCTGGAGCCTCCATGCCTCTAGCTACCCACCCCTAAGAACAGCTTTGGAAAATCTAAGGGTCAAGGAAAATAGAAAGCACACCTGAAACACGCTTCTCTGCAAGTCTTTAAGCATTTGCTTGGCAGCGACCAGGAAACCCATGCAAAGTCTGGTGGTGTGTACTTCTCTGCCTGGCACAGAAAACACATGGGCCGCCACAGTGCTCTGTGCCACACTAGGCTAGTAAATATTTTGACAGGCTAGTCATCTTTGTGGGCTTATTTACAAGGCTGCTTCCCCGTGGAAGGGTAATTGTGCAATTTCTCACAGAGAAAATTGTTCTCTGCAATCTTCCACATGATCTGAAAGAGATCTTATTCCTCGCTGTTGCCCACAGAATGCAAAAAAAATGTACAAGCTAACCTTCCTCTGAAACTTGCACATCTCCCCACTTTTTTCTTCTCTTCTTTAAATCTCTCTCTCTCTCTTTCTCTCTCCCTCTCTCTCTCTCACACACACACACCTGTTTAATATGAGGTTTTAAATTTTGTATTGTGAACTTATACTGATGTCTTAGGTTTTTAATACAATGCATCTTTTTTTTAAATGAGCTTTGTGAACTGCCCAGAGAGCTTTGGCAATTGAGCAGTACAGAAATGAAATAAGTAAGTAAAATAAGAGGAGGCTAGGAAAGAATATATCATCCCATAAAAGACTGTATCTGTGCAAAGACAATTGCCCCTGGCAAGGAGATGCACTAGCCCGTATGTGACCTGCACGTCTCAAACAGACCTTGCCCAATAGGGGTGCTGCACAGGAGCTGCTTGGCACACCAGCCCAGCAGCAGCAACAATTCATGCTATTAAATAGGTAACACTGGGCAGATCAGATCCCAGAATAACAGGTCCCATTGAGATCAGCAGGGCAAAGCAGTCACAACTGCCCTTCAGTCCCTGTGACTTCAATTCCATAACCATTTATCAGCAGTAACTGTTACTGAATCTAATGGGATTTACTTCTGATTAGATAAGGACCAGCTTGGGCTGTTAATTTGGATCTGACTCAAATGTATGCCAATTATGCTGGCTGTATTATCAGGTATTTTTATTAAATTGTCATACTGCCCAATAGCCAAAGCTCTCTGGGCAGTTCACAAAACCACACAGCAAACCTTACAACATAATAACACAATAGAACATAATATATAAACCTCATGTTTAAAATAGAATTAAAGCAAAGTAACCCCTCCCCACAAACACATACAAATAAATTGCTGATGGATCTGGAAAGTGATCTGAGAAAGAATCTAGACCAATACAATCTACAGAAGTAAAACAGAGGTTTACCTACCGCTTCAGTGTATGCTTCACAGTTTTGCTCCTCATGAGCCTCCAATAATTTCTAACAGAATGACACAAAGAGTTAATCAGCAGAAATAACCAATTTCCTATTGTTCCCAAGGAGGATGGGCGTGTTAAGTTTTTTTTTCTGTGTCCTATGAAACTGAAAAGGGCCTTTTGCTACTTGAAACAAGAAAAAAATAAATAAAATGAGCATGGGCTATTTGAGAGCAAATGTAATCCTTCTGCAACCATATCCTTCTGCAATATAGAAAGCTATTTGTTCCAGCTATCCTGGCCTACAAAAACCATTCTTTACCACGGACAGTGACCTCAGATGGGCAAGGATGCTGGAACGTGAGGTCAGTAAAGGAGGGCACTCCACGCTCCGCTGAAATTGCAAGAAGCAGCTCCAGGTGGATGGAAGAGGAAGGCAGTCGGACACCAAGGGAAAGACTGGACCGAGAAGCAGCCCAGCCACTGAAGCCTACAAACACTGCGGGGCCAGCCGTGTTCCTTGCAATCAGGAGTAGAGGCTGCAGCCCTTTGACAGATCCTTATTAGAATATCACAAGAGGATGTGTGGCAAGAATTTCTAAATTTTGCGCATGAAAGCATGAAGTTCCACTTACTTTCAAGAGCTTACACTCCCTTGAATCTGTGAATGCTGGGAACATTTCTTCATATTTCTCAAGAGCAAGCTGGAAAGAGAGCAGCAACTTTAAAATTTACTATTTAAGCAAGCAGATGCTATCTGATCAAAAACATTTCTTTGGAAAACTGCAGCTATAGTAACAACATGCCAGCAAAAACAAATTACAGGCAGTTCTTGGGTTACAAATGAATTCCATCCCTGACAAAATGGGAATGTGTCTGCAAGTCAAATGTGTAAGTCAGTCAGATCACATAGAGTCGGCGGGGGTTAGGAGTACAGGACCCTTGTGAAAGTGCAAAAACCATGAATAACTCTAGCCCCCCTGCAAACTCACCAGCACCTCCTCTTTGCAGTAAAGAAATACCAGAGAGATTTCCCTCTCCAGATGGGCAAGCCAGGAAGGCATGCTTCGGAGGATTCTCTCTCTCTCCCCACTTTTGCTTCCACTCTCTCTATGGTGATTACAATTTTCTGCAGTAATTTTAAAAAAATAATAGGCTTTATGGCAGTTTGTTGGCAAGTACAAGTTTTTTGTGACTCAGACATTAGTAACTCAGGGCTGCCTGTATGGTAAAGAGGCACCTCAACCTGTCATTGACTGAGAATTTGACCTCCAGGCTACAAACGTTGCAAATATGGCAGACCTTTTCATCGGTAAATCTTCTATGTGAAGAGACTTTGCCTGGGTTCAGACAAGACAACATCCCAAACTCAAGGATTGAGGGTGGGTTACCATTCTATCATGAGTGGTTGCTGAAATGTGGGTTCTCATGTTGTCTAAACCTAGCCAAGATAATAAACCACGATAAATAACCCACAGTTCACAACCTAACAACAAACTGGAAGTCTCTTCATGGGTTGTTCATGGCACAGCTGTGTTCAGGTAACACAAAAGCCCACTGTTCAGCAACAACCCATATTCAAAGCTGGAGTGTGGGTTGTTGTATTGTCTGACCCCAGTTTTTTTGGATCTGAAAATTCCCATTGTTGTGCCCTCAGGTCATATGAGCAAATGGACCACTTGGGGGATGTCCTAAATAACTTATGATAGAACCCTACTTTGCATGCAGAAGGTCCCAGTTTCAACCCTCAGCATCGCCACTTAAAAGGACCACATGGACACAAGTCATGGGAAAGGGCTTGGTTGGAGACCCTGACCACTGCTGCCTGTCAGAGTACACAATCCTGGATGAGATGGAAAACCTGTCTGCATTGGTCTAAATAAACTGTTTTATATCAAGTTTTGGTTTGCAAAATCCTTTGTAAAGATAGCAACTTTCTGCGCTCACTTGCATAGACATGTTCTGTGGACTTTTCTGACTGGGAAATGAGACAAAATTATAACGAATAAAATATAAGAGGTGTGAAAAAATCTTCTGTTCCTTCTGGCTGGATTATTTTTTAAGCAGGCACAAATTGCCTCCTGCCTACTCTTGTAAACATGAAAAATGCCAACTAAAATAAGCATGTGACACAACAACAGCCACTGGTCAGGCTTAAAGCGGACTTTTAAGGTGGGGGTGTGCCTGCACTCACGCAGCCCTCAAGGTGAAAGAGGTTCCACACCCTTGCGTTAGCCGCACATAACTGTGATCAGCTCCGAAGAACACGCAAAGCAGATGGCTAGATAGGATATTTTTCATTGCTCTATAGCTTCATGAAAACACAGGCAAGCACAGAAAGAGTATTCTGGTTTGGGAGGCGGGACTCATATGGAGATAATTTGTTTTCTGTAAGAACAGATGGTATCAGTGCTGTAATATTCCTGAACAGGTTTTGTGTATTCTTCAAATCCCATGCAAACTAGGGTGTACTGACCAACTACTGTGCACTGTGGCTTGCACTAACCTTGGCATTCAGTTCATCAACTATGAAGTGGCACAGGGCTGCCTTAAAGAAATAATCCTTTGCACTGTGCTTGAGCAATGGATTATCCATAGTACTTGTTCCAACCTAAGGAGAGAAAAATTACACACAGTCTGATAAAGACAGTGAAAAGCAGAATGCAAAGTACAGTATTATTCCAGTTGTTTCCTGGTGCTTTTCCATCCTGGTATTTGAAACTCAAGCATTTCAGTAAGAAAAGACCTGCCATTCAAACCTTTGAACCCTCATTTTTGCCATTAATGTCTCCACTATTTCTTTGTTCTTAAAATATGATTTCATTTTTATAACTTATTTTACTACCACCAATAGAACCCTATTTACTCATATCCTGAGTCTCCTTCACAGCCTTGCTTGGCCAAATAATGCAATCAAAATCAATAGTTAGGTCTTGACTAAATATTGAGCCTGATCTAAAAGTGTCTGAAAATCAGGTCAGAGATCCTAGTGGTGGAAAGATGTAGAAACTGACAGATATTTAGTAGCAGCAGAAGACTTGGTCCACATCTGTCAGCAAAACTGTTCATACGCTCTTTTCCACTGCCTGACTCTGGGGAAAGTTAGAGAGAGAATTTCGCTGCCAGTTTGTAAACCAATATGACCCTTAATGATTGGGATCTACAGTGCAATATGGAGTGCTCTTACTCGTCTGTCCAAGGGTGGAGCAGGGAGAGATTTACAGAAGCTTCTACTCTTAAGAAAAAGCCCAAAAAGTCCAACTCTTGATGCTCAAGTCAGTTCCCTGACTGCATGACCTGACAGCTCTCTGTGGATTCATTTAGCTGAAGGTGCTGTTGTGTCATACTGGGTTCCTAAGGGCATCTCTAACTGCTGTGGTTTGCTGTGTCATGCAAACCCTACATTGCAGGTTGTTTGAGGGGGCATGCAACCTCAAATAACCTTAAAACCAAACAAGCTGCCCACTGCTTGCATATGCAAAATGGTGGCTAGCACATTCTGCTAAGCTTTGCAGGGGGGCTTAGATATACCTGTGAACTGGCCAGGAGATGTTGTCACATGCTAGTGAGATTTCCCTATTACCCTTGCTGTTTCATGCTACTTAAGCTGTTGTTGGTTGACTTGAGGGTTACTGCCCACCCCAAACAAGCCATGCCACCTGAGTTTGAACAAGACGAAAAGCCATGCCAGCAAGGGTAATCAGAGAAATCCACTCAGAGCACAGGTGGCAGCAGAACCAGCCCAGCATGAGGGTCCTTTTCACCCTTCCAGCAGCTCATCTCTTCTACATGCCCTAAATCAATTCAGGGTAACTCATTTTCTAGGCTGCCCCTCTGATCCAGTTTCCATGGCAGACAGGGAAGGTTACACCAAGAGTTAGGAGGTATTCAGTGGCCACCCATCCAGCTGAGTCCCTATTGGGAAGGAAGGGGGTACTCTAACAACTTTTTAATATACCTGGAAACCAAAGGATACCCCAGAGACTGCTGATGCCTCCCTCTTCAATGGGCGGTGCTGATCTGGCTACATGTGGATAATTTGACATGTCTGTACATGTGTTGCTTACAGAAGTAAACCAGGATGTTGTGCACTTACCTGCTCAAAGATTTCAATCGCCTTTGGATATTGCTCTAACTGAGCAGCATATCCAGCTACTTTCAGCAAACATTTGTTAGCGGAACTAGAAACAAAAGGTATAATTAGTTGAATAACACAGGAACAGAGGTTCTTGTTTAAAAAAAATAAAAGTGTACCAATGCATGGCAGGATTCCTTGGAAAGAACCTAAGCTACCCAAGAAATCATCACTCTATTGACATGCAAACAGATGGAATGCTGGCATTTGGCCATCTCCATATATTTTTATTTACATGCTACATTTAGGCCATTTTCAGCTATCTTATGCATGTGCCCTTCCTTCTGGTATAGAAACTGACAGATAGACAAGTGAAATGCCAACCCAACATTAATGTAGGATTTGGGCATTCTATTACTCCTTACAAGAGGGAAAGAGGAAATTCTATTTCATGATGAGCAAAGGGGAAAAAAAAGAATTCCACTTTTTCATGGAAAAAGTGATTCATACTTTCATACTTTGATTCATACTTTCAACATCCAGAAATCAGCTCTTTAATGAAAACTTGCCTGTTGGATTCTTCCCCTTTGTAATAATCTGCAGCTTGTTCATAATGGGCAATGGCCTAAAGAGGAAGAAATTGAATCATTTCTCTTTCAACATGAACATTTTCAGAATGAGCATTTTGGGGACAGACTGCGCAGATTAAGTTTACAATTTGTCAGCTTCCACAGCTAAATAGAAAGTGCAAGATTCCCATCATTTAAGCTAAACTTTTCACATGTAATTTTCTTGCATGAATATTATGTATATCCATTTTATTCATTACATTTTATTGGGCACACATACCATTCATTCTATAAACTAATACTCTGAACCCAAATAGACCCTTTAATTCACAGAAGAATTTTGATCTGACTGAGAGTCCCATTACAAGAAGCTGGGAGGCAAATTTGCCAATTTCCTCCCCCTTTCTCACCTCCCATGCTATTCTGGAGGGTCCTCCAGTTGTCTAAGGTCATCGTTAGGACACAGAATGAGCTACGGGGGGACTGCCAAAAATTGCCCTCTGCACATTCCATCAGTGGGTGTCAGTAGTGCCCTTTTCTTTCCCAATGTTTTCATTCTAAAGCAGATGCACTTCACGTACAGCCTGCCTCAGACAGTAATTCTTCCTCCCTCAATTCTAAAAATCTGTGGAATAAGCGCACCCCGAATTAGAGCAAACTTCTGTTTTCAATAAATAAGCAGACAACTGAACACAGCAGTCTTATAGCACAATCCTATACACATCTGTTCAGAAGTTAAACTCAACGGCTTCCTTTCAGTAAAATCCCAGGCATATTGACTGCTACAGTTCTTTAGCCACTTCTCTGAGAAATAAGTCCCACTGAGCTGAATGGCATTCCTTAATTTATAATATGCATTTAACACCTCATAAAACTGGTTCCTTTAGGACTAGCTTTTGCACCGCCATGGCTTTCTCATCTGGCAAAGGTTGTGCACACATGCAATTATTAAGTCTGAATTCATGGCAATGAATCCCAAAAGAGATTTAGACATGGTGGATATTGTAGTGAGAAGCATCAATTCAGTGTGCAGCAATGAGAAGAAAGCAAATTCCACACTAAGAAAAGGCCTGGGGGAAAAGAAAAGTAAAAAGTCAGTATCACAGCACCTCTACCTCTGGTAGTTGCTCTTGGAACATACAGTGGTACCTTGGCTCACGAATGCCTCAGTTCACAACCAAATCAGGTCGTGAACAAAAATTTCATAAAAATTTTTGTGGTATGAGAAATGTAAGACACAAAGTTACTTTTTAAGTCATTATGTTAGAAACTCATTGGTGTCAGTTTGGGAGAAGCTAAAGACTAAACTCTATACTAAGTTGCCGAGATGGCTCTCCCCTGTGGAAGCTCTTAAGTACCCAAATGCTTTGAATTTTAATAAGATTGTGAGATATGAGGATATTTTATATAATGACGGAAAACTGAAGCCGAATCAAGAATTACAGGAACATGGCATTGATCTCTCTTGGTGGCATAAGATTCAAATACAATCGAGATATACTAAAGATTATAGAATGTATGGTTTTTATAAGGAACTAATAGCATTTGATCAAATGATTTTAAAATCAGATGAAAAAATGATTAAAAGGTTGTATAACTTTCTTTTAGACAGGAAAATGGTAGATGAACAAGTTAAAGAGACTATGATAACATGGACACAAAACTTTGGATATAATATTGAGTTACAGAAATGGCAAAAGCTGTGGGAAAGAAATATTAAGATAACTCTAGCATCTTCATATAAAGAAAACCTTTATAAAATGTTTTATAGATGGTATCTATCACCAAATAGATTAGCAAAAATGTTTCCAAATATGTCGAATGGATGTTGGAAATGTAAACACAAACCTGGTACTTTTTATCATTTGTGGTGGACATGTGTTAAGGCAAAAAAATATTGGGTTAAAATACATAAGTGGCTTGAGGAAATGCTGCATAAACTGTTAACATTTAAACCTGAAGTCTTTCTGTTAGGTATTGTTCCTGATAATCTTGATAAACAAGCTATATATTTGACTATTACATATAACTACTGTGGCGAGGATTGCATTTGCTCAACATTGGAGAAGCGAAGAGCCACCTAATGAAGAGTTGATTCTAAAAAAGATCTTGGACTGCACGGAGATGGACAGATTGATTTTGTCTTTGAAGGAGAAGGAAGATATGTACTTTTCTCAAACTTGGAATATTTTTTATCATTGGTTAGAGAAATGGAATTATGTGTAGAATTCAATATAGTTCTTAAATGTAAAAAAAAAAAAAAAAAGAGCGTGATGTCGACCCAGTATATCCGATGTCCTGAATAACTGTTGTTTTTAGTTTTGGAGAAAATAATAAAATTTGTTTAAAAAAATTCATAAAAATTTTGACTCAGGTCGTGAACTCCACATTGGGTGGCGATTGCAATTGTGGCCATCTCCCCCCTACCCTGAGTGGGGAGATGCCCGTGATCATGCTGGGGACGGGGGGGTGGGATGGCTGAGATTGCGCCCATCTTTCCTGCATGAGTGCACCCGTGATTGCATCCGTCTTTCCTGCAGGAGCGCAACCATGATCTCAGCCATCTCCCCCCATCCCCAATACGATCGCGCCTGTCTCTCCTCCTCCCCAGTGTGCCCATGTTCACACCTGTCTCTCCCCCGCAGCACGCCCGTGATTGCGCCCGTCTCCCCCCCACATGCCGGAATGAGGGGTGTGTGCAGGGATGAGGGGTGCAATCGCGGTTGTGCTGGTGGGGAGAGATGGCTGTGCTTGTGCTCAGGGTGGTGGGGGTGGGGGAGATGGCCATGATCTTTCTTGTTCTTTGTCACTTTGCTTTACATTTTTCTGATTTAAAAAAAAATAGTTACAGAACGGATTAACGTTATTTACATTGTACCTTATGGGGACATTTAACTTGGCTCATGACCAATTTGGGTCATGACCAGAGTCCTGGAATGGACCAAGTTCGTGAACCAAGGTACCACTGTACTTATATTGCCTTTCTTCAAAGTGACTCCTGTCCAACCAAAACCATCAACTGGTTTTTCGGCGCCAGGTAAAGACCTTTTTATTTAAACATCATTTCAATTGTTAAAACATATGATCTGGCCAGGGCAACTTCTTCTTCCTTCTCTTTCTCCCCCTATATTTTTATTTTATACTGATAATTTTAATTTTATATTTGTAAATCAATGTATTTTTTGTATTTTTATATTTAATGGTAATTTATTATGTACTATTGTATTTCAATGTATTTTATCATGTTGTAAGCCGCCCCGAGGTTTCGGCAAGGGGCGGCATAGAAATGTTATAATAATAATAATAATAATAATAATAATAATAATAATAATAATACTTCTCTTCCCTGCCCCCAGGCATTATTTTGAAAAGGTGAAACTAGGTCTTATTCTGTGTGACTTATTTGTCTTGCATATGCACAAGTCCAATGCACCAGCCTTCCCCAAACTGGTGCCCTTTCCAGTACTTCAACCTCAAAGGAAGAAAATGCAGTCAAGCATTAGGTGGACTGACACAACTGCCCCAGGCAGGGGCAGCTGGGAAGCAGCATGCAGTGGTCTGATCAGAACACGACACAAATCTGTCCGCCCACTGCCCTCCAGATTCAGCAAATGACACTGACTGGAACATCAGCAGAAATAAGATGCTGCTGGTGGTCCAGTCAGCTTCTGTGCATGGAATGGGAAGAAGGGCACCATCTTTGTCTCAATCAACAAAATGGCTTGGGCTGGCCCTGGAAACTTTGCGGTGTTATCCAATGGCCCCACTCGACTTATTTTTTATTATTATTATTATTATTACTATTATTATTACTATTATTACTATTATTATTACATTTTATACTGCCCATAGCCAAAGCTCTCTAGGCAGTTGACAGCAATAATCATAGAATCATACACTTTATATTGTTAATTCGTTTTATATTTTTAATGTATTATATTTTAATGTTTTGTGAGCCGCCCCGAGGCTTCGGAAAATGGGGCGGCAAAGAAATTTTCTAAATAAATGAATACATAAATACATAAAGGTGGCAAATCATCGGTTAATGAAACCAAGATTTGCCACAGGACATGTTGAATTTGCAGTTTGAATATGCAACTCCCAACTGGCTTGCTCACTATAACATCTGAACACAGACATCTTGGATTAAGCATGGGTTAAGCAATCCAGAATTAACTAGAAACCAACTGTAGGTTGCTTAATCCATGACATCTCAAAGCAAGCTCAGATCAGGCTACATATTCCAAATGGTAATGGCACATACCCAGCACATGCCGTTATATACAAACTGGGACTAAGTGTGCATGCTCTGAAGTAAGCTCTATCATGTTCAATGGGGCCATAGGAAAGTGTGCCCCTTCAGCTAATTCTTTGTCACATACAGAAAGGGCTCAAACCACCGAAAAATCACTTACCTTTTCAATGTCTACTAGCTCGGACTCATAGATCTCGGCAATAGTAATGTGATGCTTGGCAGCAATAGTAAATCGGCCCTGGGAAGAGAAGACTTGGACTCAAGCATTTTCTTTTCAGCTCAGTGCAAACAACAAACACAAAGACAGTTGACTCAAAGAACAAACACCAATCTGCCAGGTCACAAACTGGAATCCCAACCTAGCTTACCATGTCTGTGTAAATATCGATGGCAGCATTTAAGCAGTTGATAGCCTCTGTATTGTATGCATTTGGGGAGGAAATAATGAATAAAATCAGCTCAGTCATCCAAACATTATCATTCCAGCTGTACAAGGAACTAGGTTGCTCTTATCAACACATTCTCAATTATTTTTCTGTTCAGATCAGCTCCAATATAGGATTGGATACCCTCTAACATAGGATAGGCAGACATCAAGTTTAGAAGATGGATTTTGCTTCTCGATTAGAGCACCAACTCAAACCAGGTACAAAAGAATGAAAAGAATTCTGGGTGTTAAGTGGTTGTTTGAGTACCAGAAGTGAATGGAGCCCACCATTCTTGTACATTAAAAAAATAACCATTCCTGGTTACTCCAGGCTTGCTTCACTTCAGTACTATAATTTAAGGCAGACAGGAGAGGAGTGGGAGTCAATTTGTTGATGCAATTGGAGTAAAAAATCCTTGCCAGTCTATTGCCAATCACCCAGAGATCTTCAAGAGGATCCAGGTTCACCTTCTGGCCACTCCAATAAGATACTATTGTTGCTATCCAGTAATCCCTTATGATAATAAATGTTATGACATCTTGCAAATACTCGCTTCTTTTCCATATACTTCAAGGAAGGGGACTGCTTGGCAAAGACAAAGGGACTGGCTACCTCCACTGCAGTGAATGCAGACACATGAAGGATTTTCACATTGGTGTTCCAGCACTCACACAATTTGCAGGAGAGCATTTCTGCACATAATTAGCCCATTCACACAAAAGTTAGTGTACTGAATATATGCACAGTGGGCTGTGGGGGCGAGCCTAAGGCTTGTGCATCCCTACCCAGTGCACTTCTAACATGAGCCATGACCTGCATTTAGAATACCTGACAGTGCATCCACACAAGTATACATTACTCGTGTGATCGATCCATTCCAAATAAGGGGCAGGCAGCCCCTGCAAATGGGGCCATCATACAAAGCCCGTTTTCATTACATTTTGGACCACAACTCCCATCAGCCCCAACCATCATGACCAATGGCTGCAGGTGATGGGAGTTGCAGACCAAAACATCTAGAAGGAACCAAATGGCCTATCATAATAATTGAGTAGCAATTTTACATTCAATGGCACCAAATCCATACACTTGCACCTTCACTTCTATCAAATAGATAAAAAGGTCTTCAAACAAAGATGAGCCAAATTGTCTTAAAAGGATGTGTTTAGCTTCAATTCATGCAGTTCAATTTTGTTTAAATTGACACAATTTTCCATTAACACGCTACTTAGATGTACTTTATTTAGCAGGGTTCAATTTAAGAAAAAAAACATTCACATTGATTTTCTTTTTCTTAGCCATACTGCAGGTAAAGTATTATTTTTCATTATTCTTCAAGGGAAGGCAGGATAACTTGGAAGGATCTGTGCTTCATTGTTCATATTAGCAAGATCCACATACAGTTAACATTTTAAACATAGCATTTGTCAGATGCATTCATATCCCACCATTGCCAACATAAGCAACTATGTGAATTGGCCCCAATCCTACAATTATTCCAAGATTCTTCAAGGAACTTTCAGGATTGATCCAAATCAACACATTCTTCTTGCAAAATTTTGACTTCCTTGGAGTTGCCTTGTTTTATAAAAATCTCAGTCATGCAATTGTTTGTACGGACACTTAGAAGAGAATATGCTACCCATGTGCCTTTCTTAACAACAGGAACCTGTTTAGATAGCCACACTATGCATAATGCATCATACCTTGTGGATCAGCCTTTTTGTAAGCATTCCCTGCATCTACAAAACAGGTTGCAGAATCATGTTTACTCTGTAGCTGCATGTGAAGCTTGGCCGCCTGACAAAATGCATTCCCTGCCGCTGGAAAAAAAATAAGTCACAACATTTCAGTCTACAGTGCAAAGTTATAAGCAACCACTTGGATGACAAAATGACAGGAAACTTTCCCATACACTCCAGATGTCTCACTTTGTACTTATGTATTTATTTATAGCCTGCCTTTTTCCTACAAAGGGCTCAAGGCAGCTTACATCATTCTCCTCCTCCATCTTATCCCCACAACAACAGCCCTGTGAGTCTATGACTGGCCCAAAGTCACCCAGTTGGCTCCATGGCTGAGCGGGGACTCGGACCCAGATCGTCTGAGTCCCAGTCCCATGCTCTTAACCACTACACCACACACTTTCAGGCGTTCACTGGCAAAGCTATTTTTGCTCTAAATTTGAAAGCCACAGATATTCCCAACGTAGAGCATAAATTGGTTTTTCACATTTTATTCATTCTGGATTTGTCATTTAAATGCTCTCCATATTAGTAATTATAAAAGTGATGATGTTCCAACATGCTCCATGGAAAAATACTTTTCACTGTCACCCGGAAATCACTTAAAATGACATTACTGCTCTAGCTAATACATACTGCCTGGGTTTGGAAGGAGGAACCTTGAGCTTTTAATTAACCCTACCTTGTTGTTTTGTCTAAACAAGGCATCTCAGTTCAACACTAAGTATGGTTAAATTTCATAAAAGGCAACTTCAAATCATGAATTTTTAAGTCAGATTGTTGAAGCTAACTGAAGTTAGAGGTAAATCATGGCCCCCTGTCCAGATAAAATAAGCCAGGTTAATTAAAAGCAGAAACAATCAATTCTGAATTCCTCCCAACCGCATGGGAAGAGGGTGCAGGGGGTGAATGCAGGAGCCCAGGAGGATGGTGGGCTCTGCCTAAAAGCAGCCTCTTCTTTATTTGTTTTACAACAGTTATAAACCACTCTATATCTTAAAAAAATAAATTCCTGAACATTCAACAATACAGAAAATACAATCAAAATGCAAAATGAAAACACTTAAACTCAGGTTACACTAATACATCATAGATGGTCATTCAAGAAGAGCTTGTTTAAATAAAACAGTATTTAGCAGTTCCTGAAAACAAAGGAACATCTGGCACCTGCCTGGCATCAACAAGTGGGGAGCTGCACAAAGAGGGGGCCTGCCCACTAACAACTCCACTGCAAGTGGACTCCAAATGGACTGCAGGTCCAGGAGAGCCACCGAGGTGTAATACCTCTTCTGATGACCTCAGTGTCCAGGCAGGCTGGGATGGGACAAGGCACACTCTCAGATCTCCACGTCCCAAATTGTTCAGGGGCTTATATACACTGGTAACAAAATCTTGGCCCAGAAACAAAGAGGCAGCTGGTGCAATTTCTACAGCAACAGTTACAGTCTGAATGGGACAGTGTTGGATAACTGCCAAGCCGCAGTATTGCGCACTGACTGGCATGCCCATGTTAAATTCAAGAGCATCGACCTTTATGTCAGACTTGCATTCTGCAGATTTCTCCACAATTTCTTCCAAGGAGAGGACACTCCACATGCTCCACACAGAGGGATGCTACTCCTGTAAGGTCCCTCCGACTACCTTCTCACAAAACTATTTGGACTGTTGCATGGTAGATGGGCATCATTTCCATGTCCCACTTTTGGAACTGTGTATACCGGCTGCCAACACCTTACACTTCAGCTGATCTGCCTTCTCCACACCTCCCCATTCCCTGCTCCAAAAAAATTTTGCGGGGTGTGCATATGTGCACACCTACTTTCCAACCTGGTCTGGGCACTTCTAGGTCAGCTTCCCTGCACTGGAAGAGAGCAGAATGACATGCCAGAACCAGTGCCTGACATAAGCCAGGCAGGCAGGCAGGCAGGCAGGCAGGCAAGGCTGCGGCCAGAAGGAAGCATCCAGCAAGCCTTCCTTTCAGAAAAGGGGCAACCTAGTCCAAGCTTGGAGACAGAATTTGAAGATCTGCTGGTGAAAATGCAGCACTGGCCATGGCTAGAACTGGGCATCAATGCCTCTGGCTCTCTCTAGCTGATCCATGCACAGGATGGCTCAGTTGGCACCACTGCTCTAAATCGCTGCTCTCTGACTGGACTGTGCAGCCCATTTTAGGAGATTAGATGAGGCTAGGGACTTAGGGGCACAGATTAGAGTCACCCCCCTCAGGGCATTGGACATTGCAAAGGCGCCAGGCCCTGACAGGTTATACCCAAGAGTACTGAGAGAGTTGGCAGGGGTTCTCTCACACCCGCTGGTCTCCATTTTTGAGGCCTCGTGGAGAACAGGTGAAGGTCCAGAGGACTGGAGGGTGGCATCAGTGGTCCCAATTTTCAAACAGGGTAGTAGAAGGGAAATGGGGAATTACAGACCTGTTAGCTTTACGTCCATTGTAGGAAAAACAATGGAAAGGCTCATAATAGAGAGAGATCTAGTGATGCTAGATAGGGAAGGGAGGCTGACAGACACATAACACAGCTTCCACAAAAACAGGTCCTGCCAGACAAACCTTGTGGAATTCTATGACAAGGTTTTGCGATGGCTAGATGGAGGGGATGCAGTGGATGTGGTTTACCTGGATTTCAGCAAGGCCTTTGACAAAGTGCCCCATGATATCCAGGTGGAGAAACTGAGGAGTTTTGGGATACACCAAAGCGCTGTCCGGTGGATTGGGGCATGGTTGACTGACCGAAAGCAAAAGGTAACCATTAGTGGGGAATCATCGGAATGGCAGCCAGTGACAAGCGGGGTCCCCCAGAGCTCCATCCTGGGGCCGATCCTGTTTAATCTTTTCATTAATAACATGGAAGAAGGGGTGAACAGTCTTCTGATCAAATTTGCAGACGACACTAAAACTGGAGCAGTGGCCACAACTGAGGAGCAGGTACTCCAGATCCAAAAGGATCTGGACAGACTATGGAAGTGGGCAGGAGACAACAGGATGGCATTCAATGCGATAAGTGCAAGGTCTTGTACTTGGGGCATAGGAATAGGTGTCATAAGTACAGGTTAGGTGACAAATGGCTGGAGAGCAGCACTTGTGAAAGGGACCTCGGGGTGCTGGTTGACTGCAGGCTTCACATGAGTCAGCAGTGTGATGCGGTGGTCAAGAGGGCGAACGCCACCCTTGGTTGCATAGCCAGAAGTGTGGCTTCTAGATCGAGAGAGGTATTACTACCACTCTATATGACGCTGGTGCACCCGCAACTGGAGTATTGTGCTCAGTTTTGGGCCCCTCATTACAGAAAGGATATAGCCAGGTTGGAGTCAGTGCAGCGTAGGGCCACAAGGTTGGTGGCCAGTTTGCAGGGGAAGAGGTATGAGGCGAGACTGAGGGAACTGGGTCTCTTCAGCCTGGAGAAGAGGAGACTCAGAGGGGATATGTTGGCGACATACAGGTATGTGAGGGGATGTCACATAGAGATGGGTAGAGACCTGTTCTCCCCTGCAGAGGAAGGCAGGATGCGCTCCAGCGGAGCAAAGCTCAGGGAGCCAAGATTCCATTTGGATGCCAGGAAGCACTTCCTGACAGTCAGGACCCCGAGGGTGTGGAATGGGCTTCCACGAGAGGTCGTTGAGGCCCCATCGATGCGGGTGTTCAAGATAGGCTGGATGTACACATGGTGGGCATGTTGTGAGCGGAGCCAGCTGGTGCCGGAGGTCAGACTAGATGGCCCGGGAGACCCCTTCTGACTCGCTCTGCTTCTATGTTCCTATATCCCAAGTCAACTGCAGCCCAGCCAGCTCACTGGGGCTGGAGAAGGCTGCCCTGAGAGTTTCTTTAAAAGTAATTCATCCTGAAATAATCAGTCCTTTACTCATATAATCAAGAGCTGAAAGTGAGGCAAAGAGCTCCTCTTAAGGACACTTGAGTCACCTCAATTTCATCTTGGGATGATGCACTGAGTCATCCACAAAGAGCAAAGACATTTTCCAGACTCTGGAGCATACAGAGATGAGTGCATTTTAACATTCAAGGCAAGCAACCATGACGTGGGTTACTGAATGAAGAGTCGTGGCTATATACACCAGCCTGTAATTGCTTTGGTGCATAATTGAGGAGTGTGGATGCAGGACAAAGACTCTGAGTGAGTAACTCCAAATAATCTCTAATGGTATCAGAAAGTTTTATGGGACACCAAAACCAATGATCAAGTAAGAGAACATTACAGGATTGCAAATGTGCAATTTGTTGTTGGTTTTAGACAATGTACAATACGTATTGTTCTGTATTACAACTTGATCACTACACATTATAAAATGTTAGATAAAACCATTAAACAAAAGAAAGGCATTCAGGGATCCTCAAATAGTTATCCACCCTCTCCTACAAAACAGACAGAAATGTACATACGTACCACTCCAGTTTTTGGCAATCTTGAACATATTTGCAGCTCTAGTATACATTTCACATGCTTCTCCTACTCTCGTGTTTCCTCTAGGTAAAAGAGAAGGAAAACCTGAATGAGGAGGTTGCAGAACTTCCTAATCTGATGAAATAATCAAGCATGAAAATCTGTTGATAGGACCCACAAAAATAAGAAACAACATGCCGACCTGATTCCATATCAGTGGTTCACATTACACAAGCATGAGTACTTAGCTGTTATCTCTGCAGTGGATGCTGGGACTTGCACTGTAAATGCCTGAAAAAGCCCCAGAGACATTTGGGATTTTTACTCATAGGTCAGCTTCACAGGCACACTAGCCCACTACTGTCAGAGGAGGGGTCAGGTGACATGAAGGATGGGAAGAATGGATTTGGGAAGCATCCTAGAAGAGTGCCTTCAAAGCATTTGCCCAGCCAGAGAGACCTGTGGAAAGGGATTGCAAGGACATGGCTATTCCTCCATCTTCTCTGCCAAAAGTAGCTCTGTTCTCTTCTGACTTCTTGGCAGGGTCCTATAACTATAACTTGGAAGGGGCTACCCTCCATACCATGCCACATTCAGGGGCAGCAAATGGCTCCCCAGCCCCATGAGAACAGCTGTGTTCAGAACAGGGTATGGACACCAACCAGCTTTCCTCTGAGTTGGCACAGCTTAAGAAGCCTACCTAGCAATTCCAGACTATTGTCAAATATGCTGCTGGCTTGGCTTCATAACTAGCTACCACACTGAGCTGTCCATGGTCCTGAGCATCAGCAGCCTTTCCTGAATCCTGCAGTGTTTGGCAGGAAAACCCCTTACTGTTCTCCAGATGTTTTGGAATTCAATTCACATCAGCCCCTAACAGCCTGGCTACAGGTAATGAATACTGGGCATTGTAGTCCAAAGCATATGGAAAGCACCAGGTTGGAGCACATTACCTTAGGGCTCCAACCTACAACAGGATATCTCCCAGACCACCAAGATTACGGGACAACTTTGCTCCGCATCTCGCTTCTTGATGACATGTCTGAATGGAGCCATGTTGGGAAACGAACAGCAATCTTCCCAAGAAGGCTGTCCTGAATGTATGATAGAAATAAGATTGGGAGTGTAGGCAATGTCACACTGTAGACTGCATTCTTAATTTATAGATTACCCAATATCAGAAGTTCCTTGGGCAACTAAGATTTAAAAAAAAAAGTTTAAATACTTACAATTAAAATAAAAAGACCATGAAACACAAAAAATCAAACACAGCTAAATAGTAAAGAAAGACCACTGATATAACAGAAGAGCAAAGGAAGACAACACCACAACATTAAATACATTAAACAATATAAAGTAAAGGAGTCCACAGAGCAACAACAGTATAAACCATCTCATAAATTAAAAGTCCTGAAGAAATGTAAAAAATAAAAGACTATTTGCTGAGCAACAGAAGACATTAAAGCAGATTTCAGGCAGATCTCTCTGGAGAGAGATTCCACAGATTGGGGGGTGGGGGGTGTTGTTGAAAAGTGCCTTTCTGACATTGGCAACCACCATACCTCATTTGGTGGGGGAATTTAGAGAAGGGCTTTGGGTACTGCCCAGGTGGGAAGACGCAGTCTTCAGCTGCCATGCAAGGAAAAGCTTTAAAGATTAAAACCAACACTTTAAACTTGGTTTGGAAATGGATCAGGAGCCTGTGAAAATGATAAAACACTAGCAGAATCTGTTCATAACACCCAGTTCTAGTTAGCATCTTTGCTGCTATACCCGCTATTCTGTACCCACTATTTAGGCCCTTTTCAAAGAGAACATTATGTACAACACATTGCAGATCATGTAGCAAGGCAACCTCTGCTCAGGGAGGGATGCAGGAGGTGAACCAGTCCAAGCTAACAGAAGGCTCTCCAAGCCAGAGATCACATGGATCTCCAGTGAGAAGGATGGATCAGCGGGTGCCCCCAGTCTATGAAACTGGTCTTTTAGGAGGTGTGCAATCCCATCCAGAACATGTTGACCACAACTCACCTAGGCAGACAAACTACCCAGTAACTCTGCTTTCATCTTGTGTGAACTAAGCTCAAATTTACTGGTCCTCATCCATCTATTGCAATAGATAGGTACGGATTACTGTTCCACCCAAGTCCATGAAAAAGGGAAATAGAGCTGGTAGTCATCTGTATAGTGATGTTATCTAAAACTCTGGATTACTCACTCAGCAGTTTCATGTAGGTGTTAAAAAGCATAGCAGAAAAGACAGAACCACTGGCTTCACTGGGCATCAAAATAACAATGTCAGCTCTAAAGCTTGGCGTAGTTTCTATCCCCTATTCTGAAGGCACATTAAAAGAATGATTCTTTTGATCTGATGGTTCAAAAACCTCCCCACATCCAGTTCTGGCATGTCCTAGGATCCTTCCTTTCAGCCCTTACCACCAGTGAAGCACTGTTTGCAGAGCAGCCACAGTGACAGTCCAGGTAGGACCTCAGCGGGTGGACCTCCCTCTCCATTAGCAGAGGTGGACGTCCTCATGATCCTAGGATCCTTGTGACACCATCCCAGAGACCATAGGAATGGATCCTCATAGTATTCTCCAGTTACCTGTAAAATATACCTTCCCTAAACAGTGCAAGTTGGTTGACAACCTCTTCATAGAAGGAACAATTAACACAGCCAAATGTTGGAGCCTTGGAGCAAAACCCCAAGAGTCCCAGGACATGGTCCAAAGGCATGAGGCGGCCACCTCGCTGAAGCCAGTGTGGGTCAGGTCAGTGCTTGAAGAAAGACCATCTGGGAATGTGCAATGATAGCCATTGAGCTAGGGGCAGTAGGGGCCACAAACAGGATGGGGGTCCTCCATCCATTGTCCACCCCCGCATTACATACACAAATGGGTTATAAAATAAACATTTCAGAGGAGACAGTCCCCAAGCAGCTGAATTAATTCTACAGAACTAAATTAGTTTTATACTGATTCAGAAGGGGGGGAAAGAAAATCCTCTCCTGCTTTCCAGTTCATCTATTGAGGAAACACGGGCAGGGATTTATTATGATGAATCCCATTGATCCTGTGCTATCTTATCCAAAATGGCTCAAAGAGGCTTAGGAAAAAAAACACAACATTCTTCTTAAAAAGTATAATCATGAATGCTCAAATTAGCAAAGTCTACCATAAAATGGCCATGGCTCTGAAGCAGAGCATTAAGATACCCAGCACTTCTCTGCCATTTTTTTCTTTTTCTTTTCTAAACAAGAAGCATTGTTCGGGTTATGAAACAACTGGAGGCTTGTACTAGGTGGATTATTTTATGAAAAGGATCACAGAAAAAGCCATTCTGTATTCTTTCCCACTCACTTCTACAAATGTCGACAGCCAGGAAATCTCTTGGGCAGAGACAACCAAGGTCCACACAATAAAAAGATTTACGAATCAAAACCAGTACTGTGAATTGAGACCAGAAACAGTGCAACGCCTGCCAGCATTTGCCAGTCTTCCCAACCCAGCACACTCCAACCATGTTGGACTACAAGTCCCATCATTCTGGCTGGACTGGTGGGAGTCATAGTCTAACACATCTACATCATGCCAGGTTGAGGAAGGATGGCACATGATTTCACCTCCCTGCTCCTAAGTGCACTCCCGCATCCTGAATACCAGTTGGCACTGCCAAGCCATTCTCAGGGCAGGCCTACACAAAGCATACCTCAAGCAGTCTACCCTGAGGTTCCCAAGCACACTTGTGAGCTGCCAGAGCTTCCCACCTAAGAGATGCCTGCTGGATCTAGTGGAAGTGGCTCCCATGGCGGAGAAAATATGCCTCTGGGCAACTCCACCAATGACTCCCTGAACGCAACAGCTGCTCCAGAGGCACTTCTGCTCCCACCCACTGCAGCTACAGCACTCAGCAGCCCCACCACTGGGATCACCAGCCACAATCCTGTCTCACCTGCACTTACCCTGGAGATTTTTGCCCTGTCTGCTCTCCACGGAACAGTAAACAGCCGCAAGCTGTGAGATGGGCTGGGGAGATTTAGTCCGGGAAAATACAGGTGGGAAAACCCAGTGCAATCTGAGGGGACTAAATCTTCTATAAAATGGCTTCCATGGTGGGCACAGCTAGGCACAAAAAAACCATTTCCCAAAAGGCAAGCAGCTGGGACTAAAGGAAAAGTAACCCTTCCAAGAAGCCAAATACAAAGGCAACAGTGGGGTGTGGTTTCCAAAACACAAACCCCCTCTTTTGAACCCAAAGAAAGACAGAATGAAGGTCAAGAAATTAAATAAAATCCAGAAGGCACAGGAAGCCTTGAGGGCAGCAAGAGGAGCCTTAGACCATACCAAAGACCCCATTCAAGGCTGGCTGCAACCCTGAGACTCGGTTTGTCCATTCCTCTAACTTACCTGGGCCTCACCCGCTCCACAAGCCAATGTGAACAGAAAGTCTAATGTCCATTACGTCAACACTGCCTGGATGCGACAGCAGCATCACACATGGACTGCTGACAGTGCCCAAGGTGCAAGTGGAAGAATTATGGAGCAGGTGATCACTGAGTGTACGGGATCAAAATACTTCCTCTATGCTAGACAATTGTTTCTAAAATGACTAGGCATGACCCTGCCAACATAAAAGGCATTTCTTTTTTATTTCAATGAGAATGTTAGCACACATTCTCATTGTGCATTCTGCTTTAAACTAAGCTGGCGCCTTTAATTTCACCACTCTTGACAAAATATTTAAATTGTTTTAAAGAAACATTAATTAAAAACCACAAATGAATTAATGCATCATGGCCAAAATGCATCTTAGAAGACAGGTACTGAAACTCAGGTCTATGGGCTCAAATCTGGCCATCCTGAGGGCCAGATTCCCCAGATGGCCATGCCCCCTTCCCCAGTAGTGTTCCTCATGGGGTCATGCCCCTTTCCCCTGCCCATACAGCATTCAGAGTTTAATATTACTTAGCAATTTGTATATTTACTGTAAGGGCTATAACAGTTTTGACAGATATGCCAGAATTAACTTTTGTATGTGGAAAAAGATTTCTCAGTGTCACACCAGAGGCATCTTTTATCCATAAAATTCACATTTTTTCCCTAAAGTGTAAGCTTTCATCAATTCCATCATACTAGCAAACCTGTTTTGACACCAGTGGAGGGCCTAATCTCTTTAAGAACAAAATCAGATCTACACCTGAATTAACAGATTAGTGGAATCAGTTACAGGATAGCTACTTAGCAGATAATCCAAAGACAATTTCTCTAACATTTTCCTCATGAAAAGTAGAGCTCTGATGCTAAAAGTTTCTGACCTTCAACAAACATGTTTTATGTGGGTTTCTTTATCCTGCACCTGTGACTGACTGAAGGCTATATAGAAGTTTTAATAAATGTAAACAAACAAACAAACATTTCCTCCCTAGTCCTCAGGTCTCACAATCAATAGCTGAAGTGGTAAGCATCTGAATGGACTATTCCAGTTTAGGATGTACTTGCAGGCCCATGTATTTGGAAGCTCTTTTATGGAAAAAGAAACCATACTCCTTCCCCTTGGCCTGAACCCTTTCTTGTGACCATCTGGTAGTTTTCTGACTTTAGCATGTTCCACCACTACCACCATTCTAAAAGCCTGAATTGCCTTTTCTGAGAATCAGTTAATAGCAGAAGAGTTTTAAGGTAACATGTGGTAGTATTTTGGCTCTGTTCCTTTCACCTCCACCTCTCCCACCACTGGAATAGGGCCCCTGAAAGCTTCTCCAAAATGGAATTGAGTTCTCAAATGGAAAGAAGTGCACATCCTGTAAGACTGCATGCAGAAAACTAATATCCAGAGGGAAATTTAGAAGAACCCTTCTCCTTGACTTCTTGCTCTTGACATTGTTCTAAAACAGTAGCATTCAATCAAGCAGTCTAACATGATACAGTCCAGACACACGTAGACTGTCTCAGTTGCTGCTTATGAGAACTAGGGTGGGAAGGATAGAATAGAAAGAGCAACCAAAAAGAGCAACCATCCTCCTCTTCTCCCTGTGGAGTTTCTGTTAAGTGAGGCTGAGCTGTCCAGGGTTCAGCACATGGCAGTGGGAACAGGTATTTCAGTTTTTTCCACTTCATTGAATAGACTTCTTTTTTTATCCTGCCTTTTAGAGTGCTTATCCTCCCAAGGTAGCAATCAGTAAATAACAATAAAATAAAGAGTGCAAGCTTTTAAAATAATAAAATAACAATAATTTGAATAGTGAGAGCAGCAGTAAGCCAAACAGGCACAATAAACAGAACAGTTCTCCTTATGCACAGTGGAATCAAGTTGGTTCTAAAGGCCGATAATGAGGGAGACATGCATCTCTTGCTAGGGAAGGTATTCCATAGATTGGGCTGGGGGGAATCAGCCACAGAGAAGGTAATGCCCCAGTACCTACTAACCTAACAGTTCTTTTCGGCCACCCTGAAACCAAAGGGCCAGGCAGACATGCCTGCTTCTTCAAGTTGTCACATACAGAGATGTCCTGGCATATTTCAGAGAGTGACCTATTAGTCTGTTGCAGCAAATGTTTCATAACACTTTAATGAAGGGTTGGATAATTTCTGCAAGTCCAGAGACCAATTCCACACACATACAGTCTGGAACCCACCAGGGGCTGCCTCTTTCCCTGCCACAATTTTCTGCCAAAATTCTGGGAGATGCATGATTCTACTTCCTGCCAAGTCACATGCTCCTCATGTGCCCTGTTTTAAAGGACAATCTTCCCCTTTTTGCCACCACCAGAGCAATGCTGGTGGCAGGGAAACAAAAATGGCCAGAGGCTCCTGAATACAGCCCATGGGCCACATATTTCCCTCTCCCACCTTAACGAGTAACAGATTTATTGAGACATAGGCTTGCATGGCACAAAGCCTGCTTCACAATATAGAAAATGCTATTCTCAATTGGAAAAGAAAAAGGAAATGTACAAATGCCAAGAGATCCAGTAGATCTGTGGCATTTTCTTGGCAAGCAAAAAGGTAAAAACTAAGTGGCCCATTCATATCCATTTATTATTTGTAAGTCACTTTCTCTTACAGCTAGACCTGGCTATCCTAAAGGATTTTGTCAACCTTCCCCATTTTGGTGCTTTCCATACATTTTGAATGTCAACATCCATGTGCCCCAGCCAATATAGCCAGGGGCTAGGAATCCCAGGAGTTGTAATCCAAAACATATGGAAGACACCAGACCAGGAAAGGCTTCTTGGGCATTTAAGTCTTAGACATACACAATAAAAACTAACCCCACAGGCTTGGTTGTTGCGATTTTGTTGCCACACAGAGAAAGGAAGAGTCTCATGGACTTTTAAAGGCTGACATTTAAGGTTTTACAAGGGGTTTCCTCCCACATATATGCAGAGATATACCAGTCAGCTAGACTCCTGTGACAAAGTGTGTACCTGCTAGCCCCGTCAGTGCATGCTACAAGAAATCAAGGCCATCTTCCCACAACAGACAAAATATTGCAACCCTATAGACTCTTCCTGTAAACATCTGAGCTTTCCAATGAAGTGTCACAGACCTCCTGCACGGACTTCTAGCGTTTCTAGATAATGTATACAATAGTAATACTGTTACATTTCCCACCTGTACCATTCTCCCCCACCCCACCCCACCCCCTCTCGGTGTGCAAAGCAGCTTTACCCAAACTGGCACCCTCCAAGAAGGGCTGGACCATCCTCAGGATGCATGGGGCAATGGAAAAGGTAGTCCAAAACACCTGGAAGGTGCCAGTCTGAAGGAGGCTGATGCAGAGATAGCTGCAGCGGTCGGTGGAGACGTCTCTGCCCCTCAAGGACGGAAGCATGCCTCCGAGGTGGAAGCGGGCTAGGCAAAAGCCACAAGAAGCCGGCTGGGCGCCACAAGAGGCAAGCAGAAGCTGTGATTGCGGGAGAGATGCTGCCATCTGTTCTGTTATCGCAGAGCACAGCGAAGCACCTTCAGTCCCAGCACACACCGATCTCCTCTCCTCCCGCTACCCGCCACCCTACCCAGCCTGCCCGGCCCGCCTGGGCCCTACGACAAGTAGAGCAGGGCGGGGTCGCGCGGGACGCGCCCCGACCGGGACCGGGGCGGTGCGGAGGGCGAGGTGCCCCTCGAGGGCTCCAGCAGGCCCGGGGAGAAGGAGCCGTCGCTGCCGCTCTCTCCCGCGCTCGCTCACCCGAAGAGCCCCCTGAGGAAGGAATGCGAGGACTTGACCCGCTTCTCGGCCTCGGCCAGCAGCTGCGCGGCCTCCCGCTCCTTGTTGCCCGAAGCGGCGGCGTCCATCGCTGCGGCGGTGGTGGCGGCTTGGGGTGTGGCGCGGCAAAGCTGAGGATGGACAAGGCCGTCCCCCTCCAGCTCTGGCTCCGGCTCCGGCTCCGGCTCCGGCCCCGGCCCCGCCTCCTCCACCGCCCGCTGCTTCCTCGAGCGGCCCCGGCTGGTCCCGCTGCACGTAAGAAAGAGCGGGGCGCAGCCCAGGCAGAAACGGCCGCGTCATCGGGGCGGGGGGCGTCGCTCTCGCGCGGGGCAGCTGCGCGGGTCGAGCCCACTCCCGAAGGACTCCACGATGCGAGGCGGGGGACGCTCGGGCACGTGGCGGGCACCCCGGCATGGAAAACTAGCTCCCCAGGAAAAAGGCAGAGCGATAATCTTCACCCCCCGCACCCGCGACATAATACAACACAACGCAACACAGGGAGGGCCTGTTTTGTACAGAAGGGGTTCCACATGGTGAGGGAGGTCTTTCTTCTCTCTCTGGTCGATTTGCTTTTGGAGGTTTGTATAGGAATACTTGGAAAACAGTGGAAATGGGTGGCTATTGTGGGCCTTTATTGGTTTGCATGGTTTTACTGGTGAAAACTAACATAAAATATACAAGTCGCCCAGAGCATATTCTTCTTATTCATCTTTTTTTAGTGTAGTAAGGGTATGTGAATGTTAACATTTCCTTTAGAATCATAAGGCCAGAAAAGACTGCTAAAGTCATTGCAGCAAATCCTTTTCAACAACAAGTTTAAGAGTAATGCTACAGTTGTCTAAAGAGTGCATTGTACCATGTGGTGGGACATAACCTCCCTCATAAATAAGCAGACACATTATTTGTACTGCAGTCCATTTCATTTCATTTCCATACTGTCCAACAGCTGAAGCTCCCAGGGCAGTTCATAAAAATACAAACTACATATACATGATCATAAAACCATAATATAATACTTTCAGCATTAAAAAGTCCCTTAAACAGCTAAAAGTACTTAGAGATACTGGAACTGACAGAAACAACTGGCAAGAATGCTTCATATGCCATCCAACATCTGGAAGCAGAGGACAATCTTTAACCTGTTGCTGAAAAAGTAACAAAGTTGGCACCAGGTAGACCTGAGTGAGTGACGGGGGAGGGGTCACCATTGAGAAGGTCCTTCTTGTGTTATCACTTTTCAAGACACCCTTGGAAAAATAGCTCAGAGAAAGGCCTCAGTTGTTGATTATGGTGTCTAGGTAGAGAGGGAGGCTCCATCACATGTTGAATAAAATATTTTGAGGAGAGGATACAATTGGTAAACTTTCTTGCCTCCCACTTGACCTGGCAGGAGGTTCTGCTGTTCCCTTCTCCTACCTCTTTTGTGACTGAAGGTGTGCGGGGGGGGGGGGGTAAATTTGACTCACCCTTTCCCTGTTAATAGCTAATTGATTAACATAAGCATTCCTTGCAAGGATATCTGCCATCTCACAGAAATATGCTGTCATTTCAAGAACATTTTTTTATGGTAGGAAGAGAACTAATCCTAAAACACAGAAAGTCAGCATGCCAGGTAGAAAGCCAAGCTGGAACTATTCTTCCTGAAATGGCAGTGTCTGGTAAATAGGCAACCCTTTTGTTTAGAGCTGCTTCAGCTATATGAATTCTCATTTTCAGTTCAAAAAGGTTCAGTTCAGACATAGGTTTGTTGTTTTTGACAGGCTAGTTCTCAGTGGGAAGCACATAAATGTCATGTGCAAATCCATTAGCTTCAGTTATCACATCTGGCAGCAAAGTGGCTTCTATAACTGAATATTGCTCCAGCCAAATACATGTTGTTGTTAGTCGCGAAGTCGTGTCCAACCCAAATACATGTACATACATATAAATGTCCTTCTAGCAGAAAGCTAGATGCAGGGAGAAAACATTTGTCTTATCCTTTCAAGCCCATTTTCTGTTTGCAGGGATCCCCTCCTCTCCATACACACATACTCACAATGGGGACTCTCTTCTACAGGGCTGGGCAACTTGTGGCTCTTCAGGTGTTTTGGCAGAAATCCCTCATCACTGACTCTAGGACTGATAGGAGTTGTCGGGCAAAACATCATTGGGTTACAAACTGAAAACTGCTGCCTCTTCATGGACTTTGAAGGTAATGGTGAGGAGTGGGCAGGATGTTTCTGATGTCATAATGTGATCATCAACTTGCTTTGAGCTGCTTCAAGCCATGAGGTCACAAAGGCCTGGCAGAGAATGACATAGAAAATGCTGTCTCTTCAGGTCGGGGTGGACTGTACTTCAAGCAGAGGGCAAGTTTGCCCCGTGGTTGTCTGATTCGCAAGGGTCTTAAATGAGCAAAATATTTGGATGGCAACCCCCCTCCCCAAGAATTTAACATGCTGAAAGTTCGGCTTTAAGTGCTTGGGCAGAAATAAAAGGTATGCTCAGTGTCAAACTGGCTCTGACCCTGAAGGGAAGGGTTGGGCAGCACAGGCAGAGGCGTGTATGTGTGAGGGGAAGCCTAGTTTAGCCAGACAGTAAAGAATCTCATGCAGGAATCACTCATCAGTGTATTAGGATATTGAATGTGGCTGAGCAGGGGTGCTGAAAGATGGCCAAAATCCATTTTGGGAAGCTCTCTGGGGCTGTGCTCCAGTGGTGGGGAAGGCTGGAGGAAAAAGTAGGCAGGGCCAAAATACCAACAGATGCTAGCATATTGTAGCTCACTGATCTTGCTGTGGGTAACAATGCCTTAGGCTGCAATTGTTTGGAATGGGGAAACAAATGCACAAAAGATTGGTGGATGGGGGAAAGGAGGTGGGGCCACCTTGGACATGCCAAAGAGCTGGGTGGTATCCCAGGCAGCTGAATGAGGCCCCCAGGCATCAACTTCTGCAGGGTTGCTGTGGGGCAGGGTCCCCAACACAGCACTAGTGGCATCCATGGGCCCTTCTAATGGCACCTGCACAGTGGTCCCCAATGTGATATCCACAGGAACTTGAAATGTTTTAAATTAAAAACATTCACTTTTTAATACACATACACGCATTAGTATGAACTTAGTATGAAATGCATACAATATTCTAGCTATTATACATAGGCTTCAATAAAATGGAACCTAATACGTAAATAAATACCCATTTAAAGGTGGTGTTTATAGGCCACCCATTCATATATCGAAAGTGCTGTATATAACAAATGAATGTTTATCCTTCCAGTGTTGTAATATCAGCTTTTCAGGAAATGGAGAATACATTTACACTCGGTGTTTATTTCCATAAAACAGGCAAATTATTTAAAGCACATGTTCAGTAGTGAATAAAGACTTGTTCCTTTATACAACATATCTGTGTAATAACCTCCTCCCTAAAAGAAGACACAATTGAACATTGTCAATATGTGTTTAAATGCCATATTAGCTGCTCTGTTGTACCAGCAATTAGCTGATTTAGACAATCCCTTATTAAAGAGATGTTGCAGTGTCCAAAACACATGAAACAAAGGTTTTGTTGAATAAGATACAGCTAGGATCTGTGGATGTGATAGGAAAATTACAAAGGGCCAATCCACTAACTAGGTATCATCTTGTGGCACCCACAGCCATTTCTCGATCTCCCAAAGGTATCACAAGTCCAAAATCTTCGGAGATCCCTGCTGGACACTTTCTTGTGGCAGGGTGGAGTTTGCTATGTGAACTGCACTTCTGGCTCTGAAAAAGTGATGTTGTGTATAAGGAAGAATGGTGCAAAAGTAGTTGAAACTGATAGATTTCAAAATAATAGTAGTAATACACAGGCAATTCAGCCTCCATGGTTTCCCATCCCCATATTCTTCCATCTTCTGTTTCCCCACAAAATAAATCAACCTTTCACAGCATGTGTGGGCAGAAAATATGAGGGGAAATTTATGAAAGGACTTCACTGCTACATTTCCATTCCTGCTATTTTCTCCCTTTCACAGATGTATGTGCCATTGAGTCATCTCTGATTTATGATGACCCTAGGAATTAAAGCCCTCCAGAATGTCATTTCTTTCATAGCTCTGCTCAGCTCTTGTAAACTTAAGGCTATGGCTTTCCTAATGGAGTTGATCCAATTCATATTTGGCAGTGGGACTTACATCCTAGTAAATGTGCTATGAATGTTAGTAACACAAAGATAAACGTTACGTGCAGAGACCAGCTAGCAAGCAGACATCTTGGCCTAGGGTCAAACATGCTGCAGATGGCCGTCAGTCATCTCAGGGCATGGAGATACTGAAAAGGGATGATTACTCCTGTCTTTTGTCAGATGACGGAAGTTGCACAGGTCTTGCAGCACTTTCACAATAGAAGAGGATCAACTGGCATTCCTTCTCTCTCTTAATGAATGGCATGATTCCCAAGAACACCATTACATGCCAGTGTTGATGTGCATAGTAAGGAGAGGTTATACACAGCCCCTTGGTGTTTAAACAGTAGTGGTAAAACTTGAAGGGCTACTGCTCATCATCACAGTCCCTAAAGACAGCCCAACAAATTCAGGCAGCAGGAGTGTTGATCAATATCAACTTACCACTTGTGGCAGGTTTCATCAGCACCAGGAGCAGGTCTTTTGGAAAGCTCATGCCCATTCAAGACCAACTCACACTGAAATATTTTGCATTACAACAGGGATCCACATATTGTGGTTTGGAAAACTCATTTCCCCCAAGCTTCTATGATTAACGAAGCAGAGCCCAGAGGGAAAGGGCAAATTGAGATTCCGGGATTCTGACAGTAGGGGTCTCCTTAGTCCCCCTCCAACATCCTAACTTTGCTCAGGCAGAGCAGAGATCAGATCTGCTATGGCATTCATTCATAATGCCTCACATTCACATGATACCATTCAATTCCCTTCATATATACCCTCTGGTTGTAATCCTTGTAAGGGTAGGGTTACAACCTATAACCTAGTTATAACCCTGTAACATAGGTCAGTATTGTCATCCCTAACTTGCAGATAGAGGGACTGAGGCAGAAAGAGAGGCTTGCCTAAGGCCATCCAGTGAAGTCCCAACAGAGGTAAGAGTCAAACCCTGAACTTTCTGATTTGTAGGAACTTCAGTGTTTGTCACATGGAGACTCAGCTGAAAGTCAATCCCATTGAATTTAATGTAACTGAGTAGACATGCATAGATTGCATGCCTAGATATGTATATTAGACACTACATGAAATGTGTGCATAATACAGCAGTTTTTTAAAAATCATGTATCATTGTACAAAAGCCTGCAAATCTAGATTCTGCTCCTTTGTGTGTCTGCTCAGGCCTATTGTGTTTGAACAGGAAAGCCTCTGGCAGTGTTAAGCACTCCCTTGCCTCCTGCTGCTTTTCTTTATTATAAAGGAGGTGCAATTTGGCCCATTTATAACAGCCTAAAGGTGACTCTCAAATCACCTGATTTCCCTCTAGCCATTGCTCTAGTTGCTGTGATGTTGCAGAAAGCTCACCAATATTTTCAGTGCCATGAGAAAAGACTCAGTTACGGAGAGTTGGCCCTGGAAGGTATGAGAACTGGAGAGTCTCTTTGGAAATTAAAGAGACAAGGGAGATTAAAGAGATGAGGGGTTTGGGAGACTAGGCAACTAATGATCAAGTGAACAGAAAAGGCAAGATGACAAACTGGGCAAGAGGGGGCAGAAGGAAAGTCTATGCTTTAAATGAGGGAAATGCAATGCCCACATGGATTTAAACTGTCTAGCCAAATCTGCTGTAGATTTCTAGTTGTACAGGCCTGTCCAGAGTCAAGTCAACTAGACCAAAGGAAAGCTGCTTGTTTGTTTTTTCCTCAGTGTGAATCTTCCGCTGCTGTTTTCACAGTATGGTTCTCTTCTTTATTGCTGCTGGAACAACGTTCAGCTCTCTTTGTCCCTACAACATGAAATGCAGCATTAGTGTTTTAAACATCCACTTTGATCCAGGATGGAACAAAGTATTTAAACACAAAAGTTTCATTTAACTTGCATAACATCTGCTGGTCACTTGTTTTCTGCTACTAAAGAATGTATTCACTAAGTCACACTGCTTTAGATATTCTAAGGTGTTTGCCACAAATCTCTGTCTTTGCTGCTGCAATGCTATTATTTTTCACCCATTTGTTCTTTTGGGAGATCAGGCAAACAGGTTGAAGAATGGTGCTTTAAAACATTCCTAATGGGGTGGATCCAGATTTAGTCATACTTTGAGGGAGGTGGCATCAAAGGTAGGCATAGTGAGGCACCCCAGCAGGGTTTGATTGACAAGAGCCTCTTGTCAAGAGTTGTTTCTTGCCTTGCTCACTTGACTGCTGCCCAGTCTCCACCCATCAAGCAGGCAAGAGGTAGCAATGATGAGAAAGGTGGTGAGAAATAACCACTGCTAGTGACAATGGTGAGAAGGTAGACACACTGAGGGTGCCTTGTCTGAGGACTCTGCACTGCTTAAAGTAGGTCTACTGAAATTAAGTCTTGGGGTCCTATGCATGCTTAGAAAGAGGGTCTACAAATCGCAGCATGCTTCAACCATCATAGGGCTGCACCCATAGACACTTTAGTTCCATTGATTTCAGTAGGTCTACTCTATATGAGACTAAATCTACACCCAACCCTGTTTGTTTAAAGAAGCCAACTGTAGCTCTAATTTTAGAGGATGTGAGGCTACATCTATGTCCATGAGGCACATTGGAGTGGCTGTCACTGGCTCATCCCCCCTTTTCTTTTTTGCACCTAAGATTTGCATGCATATGCACAATAGCTATCTATTTGTCTCATTTTCAGAAATGGGCAATTCTGACTATCCTGAAAGTACAGCTTTGACTCATCAGTGTCCTGGATTGTGTCGCCTGCCAAAGTAGAGAGGTTATCAACCACAGATAACAGCTAACAAACAGTAATCTGTAAAGTGAAAAGTGAATCCAGGAGGGGATCTTTGCTAGCAAAAGAACATGGTTACACATGTCCCTTTAAAAAAAAAAAATTAAGTCTGTCAACCCCGCTCCCCCATTTTAAACTAAAACCTGCATTTTGACAGCTGCCAAAACTTTCTGTTCCTGCAAATGGGGCTGGGTTTGCACTTTTCCACTTTCCTGAGCACCTGGACACTTGAGAAAGAGCACAAAATTGGAGAGAACAGTCAGGTCCAAATCAAAATAGACAGAACCTCACTAGAAATAAGGAAATCTATTCCTCCCCATTTTGTCAGCAAAGACCACACTACTCGACCACTGGTTGACATTTCTGCACATCTTGGGCACAAAAAAGAATTGTTAAGATGGGTGGCAAATTAGTGACAGCCACTCCAAAATGCTGCTTGGGCACTTTGAAGGGGCAGTCACTGGCTCCTGAAAAACAAACAAAAAAGCAATCTTCAGGGGGGAAAAGAATAAAAGAGAAAATAAGCTGTGAGGGAGTCTGAGCCAATAACTGTCACCCCAAGTACCACTTGGGGAATTGGTGGTGCACTTGTCACTAGCAGTGGCCCAGGCAAGCTGGTCAAAGGTATCAATGGAACTTTGCTGCTCTTGACAAGTGGCTTACTCTCTATTTCCCTATACCCTCAATGAGATCAGACTCTTACAATTTGCTCAACACCCTCTAAATTCTAGAGTCTAGAATAAGCTAAAGGTTGGCAGGAAGGCATGTTGCCCCTAAACAAGTCTTCCTGTACAAAATGGTCCAGGTTCACACAACAGGATGAGTTGCCATATCATGCAAACCCAGTCACACTTTCTCTCTTCTCACACACAAGCACACACACACACACAAACTATTACAAAGAAATTAAATGCAAAACTAGATTGAATTTCAATACAAAATGCATTTTATTTTTAAAATAGGATCATTCCCACATACCTCAAGACTGTGCTGTCTGCAGGAGGCAAGGAATTTCAATACAAAGCAATAGGAGACAAACCACTTCCCCCAAACATCTTCAGTAGTACAGACCAAAACCATGTACATACTTGCATTTATTGAACTTTATATAATCAGCTTTGTACAGCAGTGACAAGATTCATATCATACAAGCTACTGTTTCAATTGTTGATTTGCCATAGCAGGAAAAAAATAAATATATCCTTTTTCATTTTTTATTATACATTTAACACTTCAATAAAAAGGTACAGGTACTTCAGTCTCAGTTACCTGCTATTGTAGAGAGGTATGGGTTTAAAGACATGCAAACATACATATGTGACAAAATACTCTGATCATAATTTCTGAATAAGTTATACACAGTGTACAGTAGCCAGAGGTTAATGATTGAGACCCTATTACATTATGAAAAATCAACTGATCTTTGCCTTTCCTTTCTTCTTTAAACACATCTGCTAGTGGTCAGAAACAAAGAATAAGATGATAAAAACCTCATTTAACTATCTACACATAGAGGCTTGTGGTTTTTCAGCAAAGATTTAAGCATTTTTTTCAGCCCTTACTACCCTTGCACCATATAGCACCACAAGAGTGCAAGGACTGTGCCAAACATCTAGTTTCATGCTAACTGTTTACTGGCTTTTGTGTTGTGCATTTTTTCATTTAACTTTCAGATACAATGATACATTTTTTTCAATCTATAAGTCAGACACTGGCAATTTGGCTTATACTGATTTAGAACATTCTGAGCTTCAGCAACATTTAGGTACAAAAACAGTGGAAAAGGGGCACCATTCACCTGTAGGTTGCTAGACAGAGACTACACTACTCATCGTTGTATCTGGCAAAATAGTACACAAGACAGCAGCAACCTGAAGGCAGCAGGGGGAAACAGGAATATAATTGCAATCTTGCAATGTGGTGGCACACAGGTTTGTGCAGATGTCACTATCCATGCAAGTGCATGCATGCACCTGAGATACCTTCTCTACAGACCAAATGTAATTGTATACAGTACAGTCTTCTCCACTACTGGAGTCAACTCAATTAAACATTAATATTTGGCCATTTCCTAACAATGCAGGAAACTATTGCACTCAGACTGCCCAGAAACCAGATGCATATGTTACAGTACACAAATTTCATCTTCAACTGGTCAGTTTAAAATATACAAGAACTATGCAATGGTGTAGAATAAGAAATGCAACTGACCAAGCATTTAGCAAGACTGGACAGTCTAGCAATGACTTTTAACGTTCTGCAGTGGAATATGTGTTATTGCTTCATTCGGATGCAAGAACAGTGAGGCATTGCTAGCATTGTACAGTGGAGAGCTGGATGTACATTTCAAACAATGTTTCTTCCTGGATGGAGTCCTCTAGAAACTGCTTGTACTTTCTACCATTCTTGCATTTACAGGACAACTATTATGACACTTACATAGACCTACAGTACTAAAGTGGCTAACGGTGGGACAGATGCAGCTCTTCAGCTCTGGTACCTCCTTCTTCAGCCGCTCTAGTTGCTCTGTCTGGAATATATTTGGCTGCTCAGGCATCCAGTCATAAATCCTAAAACGAGCCCACAAAGAAAAGTATTTGATTAATGCAAAGCCAACCCATTACCAGTATGGTATTTACAGCTTCTTACAGAAGTTTGATGCCAATACTTAAAGTTATTTTGACTTGAATACACAAGGCACACAACCTGAAGTTCAAATGTGTGTATATGTATTTTTGTATGCTCAAAGCACATCACACAGTCATCATGTTAGAAGTCAGGCATTCCCAACATTAATGTTTTGATGCAACCAAATTATCAAGTTATATATTACCTATCTGGCATCTAAGATTCCTGGGTGTTAAAACATGATGTTCTCCAGCTATCCAGTTTTCAGAATCCATGCATTAAACACAAGACATGCCATGCTATACAATTTTATTCTTTAAAGTATATGAGTAGCCAAAAGACAACAACATGTACTCTAATTCCAAATCAAAAGCATTCTGAAGTAACAGAAGGAATTTAAAAAACTAAAGAAGCATTATGATCTCCCTGAGGGGCTGATTATTTATTTTGAAAAAGGCATTCTGGGGAGCAAATACAAACCTGTCACATCATTTGGAAGTTGCAGATCAGGTGATGGTCTAGAGGAAGAGGAATCCAGGCATCAAGGACTATGCTAGTTACTTGCCTGCTTATAGATCCTATTTTAGAATTGTTTATTGCAATTAATTTTTCTTCTAGGTCAGGTGGGGGGGACCCCACTAGCCATGTTTCTGCACTATAATTTCCAGACCACAGGCCATACTAATTGAAGCTAGTGAAAGTTGAAGCCCAACATCATCACTCCAGCACTGCTGTAGGCCACTTTCAACACCTTGTGATTGTTCGTTGACTGCTTCCCTAAAGTTCTACTCTCCCCCTCAAGGCTGAAGTTTCAGTAAGCATTTTAATGATCACCACCACAACACAGCCTTCTGCCAACAGCCTCGAAGACTGGGCATCCGCTGACTAGGGGTTTGTTTAAGCAGCTAGATTCTGGGGAAGAATTTACTGAAAACCACATCTTCTCTTCCTGGAAAGACCCACACCTTCCATCATATCCCTTGTTGGTTTTAAATACAGGCACTGAGATTCCATAAATGTACCAGTGAGTATGGCAAGTCCCAGGTCTCACAGTACCTTAAGAATGAATTAGCAGCCTTTTTCATCAGTTTATAAATAACTGCTTCTTTTCAGGCTTGTCTATATGGGGTTAATCAAGCTGGATATTACAATTGGTACGCTGAGGCGAAATTTGTAGGTATGTGATTTTTGTGTAGTATGAAAAACATTTTAGGCTTCCAGTTGCTAGTCCTATACTGGGAATCAGCATTAGTCAGTTTAAACAGACTAACAATTAAACCTTGTTATATGCCAAGTAATTATGGGTTTCAATTCCTTTTCTCAGCTGTTGTCATATTATGAGAATAGTTTTGCCAGTTAAAGTAAAATAAAGAATAGCTTAAGATTGAATGTTTGCTTCTCATTCCCTTCCTCTCCTGTACTCCTTTGCTTTTTCATCCTGTTAAAGCACTCTGTACTGCAGCTTCTATGTGGTCAACAGTTGGGCAAATCTCACACGCTCTCCCTGTTTTCTTTTAGCTTTGAAAATAGCTACTTTGAAGAGAGTATTCAGCATTTGAAACTCCTTTATTTATTTATGTATTTAACACTTTTATATACCATTACAATAGCCTTTTGGCTCTTTGGATGGTTTACATAAAAAGGCTAGTTATTTCCTTCTGGACACTCATAGGAGTTCACAACTGTTTGCAGTCACTCTTTTCCCCTTTGCTGCAGCTTTGAGATCATTTGTCTCCTCTATTTTATTCCTCTTTAAGTAATCTCGACCAATCAGGGGTCATACATTAGACATGACAAAATCACAATGTTTTGTTGTCAAATTTGGCGATATTCTCACATTGCCAAGAACAAATAAAAATCAGAGTAAGGTCAATACTCCTTCAGAAGGTTCTATTTATCTACTGTAACTTCAGCATTCTTCACACAGTGAACATTGGCAATATGGAGAAGTGAAGAAACAATCCATGTGCATTCAAGGATTAATACAAATTATGTAATTTAGAAAAGACAGCCTAATGATATTTCATTCCACAAATGGCTTGCTTGCAAGTCAACCAAACTCTCAACAGCAGAAGCAGACAGTCTAATACCCTCCAGATGTTTTAGACTACAATTCGCATAATCCCTTACCATTGGCCATGTGGGTTAGGTAACTGTATGGGAAGTGTAGTTGAAAACATCTGGAGAACATCAGGTTGCCTACCTGATGGGCAATGATGTACTCATCTCCAAAATAGGCATCCACTAAAGGCTTAATTATCCTTGCTTCTCACTGAAAAGGTGTAACAGCCTTACCACACTGGCTAATATAAAATACAATCAGATCTGAAAGAAAAATAAACTTGAATTATAGTCACTAAAAACTTAATGACAAATCAGGAAGTCCCTAGTTTACATCTCCCTTTGCTATGAACTTCAGAGGTATTAGGCATACCTCCCGTAGCATTCCTCCACCTACATACAAACAAGGAATGGTATAGAATGATTTATAGGTTGCTCTAGCTGGATTTCATAATTTTTGTTATAAGGATTTAATGACAGCATGCTTGAAATCATCAATTTATTGAAGCTAGTTAAATTAACAATGATGTGGCACTATTAAATTCTGATTTAAAAGTTAGTTATATATCTGAAATATGGAACAAAACCTGTATTACAAGGTATTTTAAACAGCTATGGCACCCTCTCAGAATCTGGATGTCATATTTCATGGATAGGCCACCTCTCTATTCTCAAACTACAATATTCTTTGAATCTTCTTCCTCCCCATGGAATATCTAGTCACTTCCTCTATTATTCAAGCATTGATCAGAACCATTAGCTCTATATTAATGATTTTCAGGTATCCAGAAAATTAAATTAGGGAAACTGGAGACAATAAAGCCATAATGTGATAAAATGTGATTTGTCTTGACCTCAAATCTCTCCCTGAAAACAGGCCACTTGAACAAATTTTTAAGGTACAACATTAAATCATTTGAAAGTTATGAACATTTCAAAAATAGTTCAATAGGCAGCATTCCATCCAAAGGATCATTTAGATGGCAGCAGACTAACTGCAAGTAACTTGACTTTCCGTTTTACAGAAACATGCAATATTAATCTAGATAGGTGACCTAATGTTCTAGTTAATTAGATAACAGGAATTGCCCCTCTCTATGGAAGAAGTTGTAGAAGTAAACTTGCATATAAATATTTTCAAACAAAAATCCCTTTCTGATCATATTCCCAAAATGTATTTTGATAAACATCACACTGTGTAGTTGCTTATTGTTTTTAGAAGCAAAAGAAAATGTATCTTTTTACTCTTATCAAATTGGGTTAAAAGCTCTCTCCCAATATAGAGCCTAAAATAGCACCAGTACAGTGTATTGAGGACCTAAGAATATCGAGGTATCCAAAAGAACTGTCTTAACAGTTTTAAAGATGGGGCACAGGATGTTCCTTGACATGTTGATTTCAATTCATACAGGTACTCCGGCACATAGCAGAGGATAAGCTCAAATTAGATTCCCAGAGAACCCTACTTTCCAGTCAAAGTGACAGGCACATACTAAGTCAATGCACAGGAGATGTTACTGTCTCCTAATTCTACTACATTAGTATTTTCTTTCAACTACTTTTGATCTCATTGTGAGGTCACTGATTTAATTTGCATTACTGTTGCCTGGAACTAGTCTCAGAGTTTGTGCTAGCTTTCAATTTGGACTGAGCATTTGCTCCATCAGCCTACAACTACAAAAGGGGCCAAATGGCACTGAAGGGCAGTGGTCTTAAAAGGCAATGGAGCCTGTAACAGGCATCCAGTGAACAAGTCAATCTAATATGTACTACTGGAGGCAGGAGATTCCGTCCTCTGCTTGCTCTCCCTACCACCCAAATCCCTGAGAGAGCAAATCTCAAGAGGAGGTTCAAATCTACTTGTCTTGCTTGACTGCAATATGGGCACTAAGACCACCATTTCAAACCCAAATACTCATGGAGCTTATAAAATAAGCTCTTGGTCTACCCTTGGAAACTAATGGATTCAGATCCTTTGAAAAATATGACTGACTGGCTGAACGGCAGACAATTTTAGCCACTGACACATTAGCACCCAGATGTCTGTTCCCACCATTGCATCATCATCATCATCATCATCGGCACCAAAAGCTGCTGAAAGAGGAGAGTAGGTAACTAGAGTATGAGCAATGCTTGACTGATGCCAAGATATAGGATTTTTGCAACAAAGGATTTTAAAGGAGTCTGAACAACACGGCAACAGCCAGGCTGAAGAAGACGCCACTGGCAGTATCATCCATATACATTGTTCTGGGAGTTACTAGACTTTATCGATATGGCTTTGTCTAGCTAGACTGACATATTTTATCCCTTTTATTTTGCTGTGGTGTAATCAGCTGTCATTCTAGCTGGAAGAATGTGGTACTTGCTAGCTGTGGAAGGCAAGTCTAATTGCAGATTTCTTTCCTCATCCTAAACTCAGAAAGGGAGGAAGTTGGGCATTCTGCTCTGACAATGTGGCATTGCTGGATCTACACTAGTTTACTTTCCAACCCAGATACACACCACCTCTTGTACCCAATGCTTATTTGGTGACTGAAGAAAGAACAGTGAAGCATTACAGTGTGCTCAGAAGGCCTTTCAGCTGTCTCCAAGTTCACCCTGAGGTGCCGGTAATCTGACTGTAGGATTTGGAACCTGATGATACGTTCTGTACCACTCTACCAAACCACACCCAAAAAGTTTTAAAGCTTTTATATGTTTTCCTTCCCTGCCTCTGGTGTTACTGTGATTATGCCAATGTTGCTAAGCATTCATTTACTTTTCCTTGGACCTGAATACTCAACTCAGATAGTGAGGCTACATCAGTGGCTAGAAGCACTATTTCGCAACTTCATTTTTAAAAAGGCCTGAGCCCTAGCTTTCTATCAGATCTGAATTTACATTGGGGTAAGGTGCAGGAAAGGATCCAGGTATTGTGGCACTCAGCCTAACCCCTATACAGAGAGGAAAACCTGCATAGGCAGATACATATCGATGACTACTGCCCACTCACTGGCCCTGGTAATTAATCATCCCAGTCACCAGGACAGTTGGGTCAATTATGAACTTCCCCACTGATGGGGAAATTTTCCAAAATCTTACCCATTATGGTCACAACCACACCTGCTCTAAAATGCACTAGTTACTATGGTTTTGTACAGCTGACTTCACTAGATAAGTATCATATAAAATACATACACTAAAAACCCATACATACCATTAAGACCATAACCAGATACCATGGCCAAAAACAGAACAAGAAAAGGCAATCACAAGCTCTCTTAACCAGCACTTGATCTCAGTGCAAAGGAAAACTTGCCAGAAGGACAGCAGCAGAATCTAGGAAGCTGAGGCCCAGGTAGATTTCTCACTGAAGTCAGGACAAAGAAAAGAAGCACCCTCCCACCCCCCAGATCACAACTCCTACCTGGGAGGGAAACAGTTTCTCTGAAGTCTGCTCAAGAGCCCCCAACCCCTATGCAGTTGTGCTCAGCTATACTATTTCATTGTGCTACACTCTCCCACAACTTCCTCTTGCAAGTATAGCAGAACCCTAAAATGAAGGCAGAATGGCCCTTTTTGTGTTAAATATTCTAGAAGACTCTGGCTTTTGAAGTTAAGTCAGGTTAAATATACAGAAACAAACAAATGTTAAGCAAATTATAGCAGCATCTCTCAGTCAATGCAACCTGCATTTAACTGACCCACAGCTATTTCACAAAAACTACAGGTCAGACACCTACTTGCACCATAGTCGTGAGGTTATACCTTTGAAAACTGTTCAGAAACTTCAGCTGGTCCAAAATACTACAACTAGACTAGTGACCTGGGGCCAGTCACAGGAGGTATGCAACCCCCAGCTTCCCAGACTACTGGCCCATTTCTAAAGGTTAGTTATGACTAACAACATCAGAGAAATGTGCAACAGAACCAAATGTATTTAAATTTCCATGAATCAAGATTCTGCAACAGACCAGCTATTCCCAAGTCATGTAGGCATGTGGACCAGGTTTTCATTTTCCATAATTTAGCACAAAATTAGTCATAGAAAAAAAATTGACTGAAAATGTACATTTTCCCTACAGACAAAAGTTTTAAAACAATGCATTGTTTCTGTATTTCAGGACAATCTGCAGATTTTCAGAAATGTGAATCTGTGCAAACATATACAAATGCATCTGCAGAAAATCTGATTGTCAAAGAACGAACAGTGGATTAAAAGATGTCCAAAAAGTCACAAATGGAAAAGTTTTAATGACATCCATACATCCTTAGTAATGACCTATAAAACCTTAATGACTTGAGACCATGCCATCTGAAAAACTCTTGTCCCTCTATGAGCCTGCTTGAATTTTAAACTCTTCAAGGGTTCCAACACAAAGCAGGTTTTAATTGGTGGGTTCCATTTATTAATATTTTATATGCCTTTAATGAATTTGCTTGTATATAATAATAATAAGTGCTCATCATAGTTTGTATTTATTTTTGTTAGCCACCTTGAGCACTGTTTGAAATGGAAAGGTTAGATGTAAGTTTAATGCATACATGTCCATTAAATTTGAATATATGAATATATCCAATCCATAAAATGAACTGGGAAAAGGAACAGCACAAAATGTTAGACAAAACTGTAGGCTCAAATTCTAGTCAGCTGTGTGATATGAACAACAAAGCCAATGTTAATTCTTATATAAATGAGCAGTCTGGTACAAAATGTTTTAAGTCAGTTGCTTGTTAAATCAAATTATTCAACATTTCAGGTAATAGTAAACTTGACACAGGCAAGCCCTTAATTTGCTTGCTCCTTCCTTAAAAGAATCAATGGACTGATGCGGACAGAAGGCTGCTCAAAACTGAGACAAGGATTTTATGATCCAGAGTGCTGCAACACTTTGCAGATTCCTCTTTCCCGCTTCTGTATTTCCGCCCAAACTGAGGGAAATTATTAATACATCAGCACCAATGTGAATGTTAGTCACAGTTACTGTTGAATCCATTTGGGAGTTTGCTTACAATCGCTCTTGCAACTATGATTACAATGCCTAGCATGGCCAAGCATTTCCACTGGTGTCACAACGTACAACATTAACAACTGGTTGCAACTGAAAATGGATGCCGGCAAGACCATGGTTAGTGATCAGGTGGCATGATGCTTGCAAATATCAATACAATTCTTGCATTTCAATAAAGGAAGACTGCATTTTGTTCTAATGGGATGTGAGCTGCAAGTATTTTGGATGATAAAGGCAGTCTCATATGCATAAAACTATTTGGTGCGGAATTCAAATACTAGTGGGAGAAAGACATTGACCAAAAAGAGCCACATCCACTGAGGATAGACACACAGAAGATAAAAGAAAAGAGAGATGAATTGGAGAACAACAATTGAAAATGTATGCAGTGTTCAGATTAAACTATGTGGTGCATTTCTAAGGCAAAACAGACTTAAATTAGGTTGGATCCAGGCATCCCACTGTGTGAAAGAGAAAACGGAAACTGGCTTTTCCAACCCCTCCTTGCCCTCAGTTTTTAGAACCTTCTTGGAAACCTGCTGAGTGGAGTGAGTTGTGATGTAGGGAGTTGAAGAAGAAATGGGTATGATTCTGGAAAGTCAATCAGAAGCACCTTCCAGGAATGCAGCCAGCTTCAACCTTGCCTTCTGCAGATGGCTGTCTGGATCCAACCCATAAAAATATCACATTCAAGATGTATATCACCCTCAGAAATATCAATATGCAAAGAAGTGTATTTACATATATTTGCTTCATTTTAAAAAATGAGGAGTTCAAAGCAAACGGAACATGCATTCTGTTCTAAGCTAAACTTTTGATGCAAACCACAAAACCACCACCCAAAGGGGAAAAAACATTGTAACTCTTTTTATTTCCATAAAAAGAGATGTATCTCCATCAAGATACATGATGGATCTGAATGGCAAATCTAAGGTTGCTCAGTGTAGTAACTGAAATATCACAATACCTATCGTATACCAGACCATGAACTCCATATTCCTTCAGCTTCTTCCTGTTCTCTGGCTCATTTGTTTCATCACCCCAGCAAAAGACAACTAAGCCTCTAGATATGGCATCTTCAACAAATGATGGATTGTTCAGCAATTCTTCAGTATGTGCATTAATTCCCTGAAAAAAGAGAAAGATATATTAAGTATGAATGGATGAGCCTCTTAACATGCAACGTTAAAAGGCTCATCCACTGAACCTTTTGAAACAACCTTTCAAGTTGTTAGGAATGTTCAACAGTATTACCTAAGTTTGACACACTGCAGTCATCTTAAGCAGTTTACAATGTACTCCTATCATTTTATTGTAGCAATGAATCCGTAAGTAAAACTACCTCACTTCTTCAATCACTTGACATACAAGTATCTAGATGGTACGACTTACCAGCAGATTTTCAAACAGTGCAAAACTCGTGGCAATAGCCGTTGTACGGCACCTGAGATCCATGAGTTCTGGGTAAGATTCACATTTTCCTTGAGTTAGAAATAATATGGGATATTTATTTTGTTTCTGTCGAACCCTGTAAGACAGTTTGAACTAGTTACAACAATGATAGGGAAAAAAAAGAAAAAGAAACTGCAGTATTGTTCTAGTGTGGTCAAAATACCACATACTGTCTAAATTAACAGCTGCCTGGGGTCTGCTGGGAGCCTTCTGTCTAAACATGCATCAAATTGCACCCTTGGTTTCGAATTTAAAGCTGACAGTGAAATGGTATCACAACTTCATGAAAATGGCCATGGGATTCCTGTATAGCATTAATTTATTTCAAAGAGTGAAGAGAAACTATGGACATCATCTGCTCTTTCCCCTTTTCTTCATAAAAAAGATGATAGTACACAGGATGCAAGCCATGACTTTTAGACAACTTCACTGGTGGCAGACAGTGAGTTCGTTAATGCTTCATACCACTGCGATCAAATGACAATGTTCTAGTGCGATACATGTTAAAATGTCATTATGAATGCCTGAATGTGTTCCAGACTGGACAGCACCATGCTCTTCAGCATGTCATCAGCAGAGCTGAAAGTTTCATAAGAGGCTCAGCATGCAGACATATGTTTCCTCCCTGATAAGTGTATAATTGCTGAATTGTGACTCTGGTTCTTGATCACTGGCTTTTTGCAGAGGTTTACACTATTTGCAACTGGCAAAGGATCCCACCACAGTTCCATCTGAGCCATCACAGACAACAGTGAAAGATCCAAGTCATAGGCCAAAAAGCCTAAAGCCTTAAAGGCCACAAGTTACCCCCCTCTGCCTCACAGTCTTAAGGAACAGGCACACTGCTGAGCCATATGCCAACAGAGAGAATGCAGAACGCAGTCACTTGTATTTCTATTCACATTTCTTAGTTAAATCTGCATTTTCAAATGTAACTAAAGATTATTTAAAATATTATATCATAAAGACATGGCACTCCAAATTAAGTACACATCTCCAAAAGGACACTGGAAAGTTAATTCCATTAACTCACATTGTGCATATGTCTGCATCAAATGAAGAAAATATGATCCTCCTATGTCCAGCCTTGAGCAGAACAGTTTTCAAAATTATATCTAGATACACGTTCATATCAAAGTAGCTTGATAGGTTGCCATCCCATAAGCCATCCTAGAAGAAAAAAAGGAACATAGTTTTGGTTATTTTAGGTCCATGCATATCTGTTGATTTTGCTTACTGGGGAACAACTTGATGACTTGGCCTACCACCCTCATCAGCTCTAACAGCATAGCCAATAGCATAGAATCACAAGAGTTGTGAGCCAAAACATCTGGAGGACCAAAAGTTATCCACTTCTGAGTCAGATGATGATCAAGCTACACCTGTTTACACTAAGCTTGCTCCAGTTCACTTAGTACAGCATGAATAGATGAAATATAATCTGTGGTCACAGCTGACAATGTGAGACTAGCCTAATGAACCTAATGAGTTTGTTTGGTTTACCCTCAAGCTGAATTGTGTTGGTCACCAAAGTATCTCTAACAGCCTAACACATCAACACTAATTTGTCAGCCCATGTTCCAGTGACATGGAAAACATGGTCTGAGCAGCATCAGGATTGGGTTCATATCAGAGGTAAGATATGAAGGGCACCAATGTGAAATAATCCTAGTGTGTAAACTCCGTATTTCCTCTCCACTGCCTTGCTTTTCTTCTCTTTTGTCACTTTATCAGGTGCAGGTAAACCCTTTCTTATGGAAGCCATCAGACAGGATGGAGGAAAGAAAGGGAGCCCACAAGGCAAAAGCTAGAAGAGAGCCAGGAGGTCCACACTTACTTCCAGAAGACCACTGCTCATGTGAACTCTGCTTTTTTGGGCAATGCAAGGCACCTAGCCTGTGCAAGCCTCTTTCACACACTCCAGAGAAAGTAGCTACTTGTATATTTCTCTCTTTCTCTGGACTTAGATAGCATGGAGTCAACTTCCATACATATGTTTAATTTATACAACACCAAGTATAACTCACACATTCAGGGTTTGACTGGTCCCCAGTTTTGGCATTAGGAAGTAGGTTTCCTGTAATACACCCTCTGTCATTAATACACTATGCTCAGATTTGCCTCCTTTTAGCTGTGGAGACTGCTGAGCACTCCTGTATCTTTCATCAACAAGCAAGTTGATGGTTTTTCAGTTCCTGCAATGGGCTGCAACCAACAGAGTGCATACGTGTTTTGTTTTTTAGAAATGACATTTTGCAATGAGATGAACAAACTAAACATTCTAGCCCTAGAAAACTATGCCAAATTCAGCAAGGCATTTTATTTGCATTAATGAGAGTGAAAGGGAAAAGCAGACACATACCATCTAGTCCATTCAGGATTTGGTAATATAAACACTCAGGGAAGCAGGCAAGGTTTATGCAAGTACTAAGCTAAGCTGTATGTTAAGAAACAGTTTCTTACCCTTTGCTGGCAGATCCACTTGATTTCTATATTAAACCCAACATCTTCAGGAATACTTTCTAGTACCTGCATGGAAAAGCATTACTGAAGTAACCAAAGGACACTAGTAATGTCGCAGACGACACTAAAACTGGAGCAGTGGCCACAACTGAGGAGCAGGTACTCCAGATCCAAAAGGATCTGGACAGACTATGGAAGTGGGCAGGAGACAACAGGATGGCATTCAATGCGATAAGTGCAAGGTCTTGTACTTGGGGCATTAGAATAGGTGTCATAAGTAAAGGTTAGGTGACAAGTGGCTGGAGAGCAGCACTTGTGAAAGGGACCTTGGGGTATTGGTTGACTGCAGGCTAAACATGAGTCAGCAGTGTGATGCGGTGATCAAGAGGGTGAATGCCACACTTGGTTGCATAGCCAGAAATGTGGCTTCTAGATCAAGAGGGGTATTACTACCACTCTATACGACTCCGGTGCGCCCGCAACTGGAGTATTGTGCTCAGTTTTGGGCCCCTCATTACAGAAAGGATATAGCCAGGTTGGAGTCAGTGCAGCGTAGGGCCACAAGGTTGGTGGCCGGTTTGCAGGGAATGGGGTACGAGGCGAGACTGAGCGAACTGGGTCTCTTCAGCCTGGAGAAGAGGAGACTCAGAGGGGATATGTTGGCGACATGCAGGTATGTGAGGGGATGTCACATGGAGATGGGTAGAGACCTGTTCTCCCCTGCAGAGGAAGGCGGGACGCGCTCCAATGGAGCAAAGCTCAGGGAGCCAAGGTTCCATTTGGATGCCAGGAAGCACTTCCTGACAGTCAGGACCCCGAGGGTGTGGAATGGGCTTCCACGAGAGGTCATTGAGGCCCCATCGGTGCGGGTGTTCAAAGATAGGCTGGACATGCACATGGTGGGCATGTCGTGAGCAGAGCCGGCTGGTGCCAGAGGTCAGACTAGATGGCCCGGGAGGCTCCTTCTGACTTGCTCTGTTTCTATGTAATACCCGTCAGAAAAATGCTGGACTCATGTGGTTAGAAGTGATTGCCATCACTTCTTAAGCTTTAAATCAAAAGAGTTTTGTAGAAATCTACAGAAATTTCTTTTAAAATTTCAGGTGTTCCTCATAAACGATAGCCTTTTTAACAGTGCATAAATATGGCATAGCTAAGAGTAATTTTGTGCCTATACACGAGGTGTGTCCAGAACGTAATGAGAATGAAGTTCCTGCGGTCAAGTAGGGCTCTGTTAAGGGAGAAGCTGGCCAAGGTCACTTGGGGTGGGGTGCCAGGTATATGTTAGAACACTGATCAGTTACATTCCAGCCTTGTCAGAGGTGATACGTTCTTTTTTCTGACACCTTGTTCAAGTGCCTTCTATTAAGAATAATGTGAACAAGTTTGGAACAGCAGTACGTGATAAAATTTTCTGTAAAATTGGGTAAAAGTGTATCAGAAACTTTGGAAATGGTGAGGCACAAAGCTTTCAAGGAAGAACAAGAAGGTGTTGAAGACAAACAATGATCAGGACACCCCTCTTCATCAAAAAAGTAACAGAATGTGGATGCAGTGAGGTCTGTTCTCAACCATGATTGATGGCTCACTATCAGAATGATTGCAGAGGAAACGGGAATTACCAAGTCAATTGTTCATGAAATTATGACTCAGGATTTGAACATGAGAAAAGTTTGGGCAAACCTTGTTCAAAAAACTTGTCACTTGATCAGAAGGAACGCCGTCAATGTATCTGCCAAGACCTGCTGGCCTGTTTGGAAAGAGAGTCTGATTTTTTTGAGTCGAGTGATCACAGAAGATGAATCTTGGGTGTTTGAGTACGATCCCGAGACAAAGAAAGAAAGTTCAGAATGGAACACACCCTTGTCACCTTGCACCAAGAAAGTTCAAACAATCAAGTCAAATCAATGGACATTGGATTTTTTTAAATTCATGTGGAATTGTCCATAAGGAATTTGTACCTACTGGTCAAACTGTGAATCAAAGATTTTACCTGGAAGTTCTTGGTCACTTGAGACAAAGAGTTTTTCATGTGCGTCCTGAAATCAGCTCAACTTGGATCCTTCATCACGACAACGCACCGAGCTTTGGCTGTCAGAGAGTTTTGGGCTGAAAAAACACATCATGGTGCTTGCCCATCCACCTACAGCCCTGACTTGGCTCCTTGCAACTTTTTCATACTCTCAAAGATGAAGAATGGTTTGAAAGGACACCATTTTGGTTGTGTGGATAACATCCAAAGAGCCACTACGCAGGCTATGAATGCCATCCCACTTGAAGACTTACAGGGATGCTATGAAGAATGGAAAAATTGCTGGGAGCATTGTGTACACTCACAAGGTGCATACTTTGAAAGAGACAATGTTCAATTGTAAAATTTTTCAATAAAAGAATTTTTAAAATATCATTCTCATTACTTTCTGGACACATCATGTATACAGTTCTTTGGCCCCACCTCTGTCACATCAGCAAAATGCACTAAGAAAACCAAGAAACAGATTCCAAGGCAAAAAAATACACTGATACCAGTTAGATTCTTAGTGGCATCCATTATCTTATGAAAAATAAACTTACTGTTTGCAGAGAGGGAAAGGGTTGCATGTCAGAAGGAACATTGTCTTCATCTTTAAATGATTCTGTAGAGAAATTACATAAAATAGGCCTTGGAGAGAAATCTTAAGCTGTATATGGTAAAAGCAGGTTGCTTACCTGTAACTGATGTTCTTCGAGTGTCCATCTGTGCAGTCACACATATGGGTTCTGTGCCTGCACAGTGCCTATGGCCGGAAGATTGATAGCTAACGGTTTTGGCGGGAAACTCCCCTCCCCTCCCCCCCGTAGTATATATGGAGCAGAGTGTTCGCCATTTTCCAGTCTTTGATAAACCGGACGTTCGCTCTCTAGAGAAAAAAAAATTTAAACTAAGGAAAAAAACGTTGTAAGCACCGATGACAAGTTAAGAAATACGATGTAGGAATCGAAAAATAAAAAGCAGTATGGTACCGATAATAAGTTCCACCCATCGACACTAAGCGGGGCCGGCGGGTGGTTGTGTGACTGCACAGATGGCCACTCGAAGAACATCAGTTACAGGTAAGCAACCTGCTTTTCTTCGTCGTGGCCTCTGTGCATCACACATATGGGTAGCTTAGCAAGCTTACCCTGACTGGAGGAGGGGAGGTGTCATCAACAAAGAACAGTTGAAAGGACGGCTCTGCCAAAGGAACAGTCATGTCTCGCATGGACATCCAGACGATAATGTTTAGCGAATGTGCATGGAGTGGCCCAAGTGGCCGTCCTGCAGACATCGTCAATTGGGACCTCTGCCGCAAAGGCTAAAGAAGCAGCTACTGCTCAAGTAGAATGACCCCTCGGGGTTGTAGGTAAGTCCATCTTAGCTAACTGGTAGGACAAAGTTATAGTGTGAACTATCCATTTGGAAAGTCTTTGAGGGGTAACCGGAGAACCTTGGTCGTGCTCAGAGTATTTAACAAAGAGCCGATTGGAGCAACGAATGGAGTCAGTCCTTGATCTATAAAAGGCTAAACAGCGCCGTACGTCGAGCGTGTGTAAGGATCTCTCAATTGGATTCGATGGAGATGGAAAAAAGGCAGGTAGAACGACTTCCTGACTCATGTGAAAAGTACTAGCCACTTTGGATCCATTCGTAGAACAACTTTCTCCCTATGGAAATTCAATAAGGAGCGTCTACCCTGAAGGCACAGAGCTCACTAGCTCTTCGAGCTTATGTAAGAAATGCTGTCTTCCAGGAAACAAGGCACAAATCAACAGTCGCCAAAGGTTCAAAAGGAGCTCTCGTTAGTGCCTGCAATACCACTGAAAGACTCCAAGTAGGCATAACTGGTCTGATCGTTGGATTAAGGTTATGTAGTCCTTTGAGGAATCTTTTAATCAATGGTTGGGAAAAAATGGAGGATCCCTGAATTGTACCATGGTAGTAAGAAATTGCCGCCGTGTACATCGTTATAGAAGATGGTTTAAGTCCTAAATGGTGGAGCTCTAAGAGAAAATGAAGAATATTCTCTATGGATGCTGAATATGGAAGAAACGAACGAGACTCTGCAAAGGTAGAGAATCGTCTCCACTTAGCCGTGTATGACTTTCGTGTTGACGGTCTTAATGCAGATTCGAGAATGCTCTGAATCTCCGAGTGGAAAACCGTTGATCCCGATGGAAAAACTCGTCGAGTCCGATGAAGCAGGGAAAGGCAATGGATTCGAAGCCTCAGTCCTAGTGACTGACTCAGGTGCACGATCCGTTTAAAAGTTGAACGTTGTCAGTACTGAGTCAGCGGCGAGTGTTATTGAATCCGCCAGGCTGTTAATTTCAGAGATGTCAGGTCCAGGTGACGAACTGTGCCCTCTTGCTGAGTTATTAGATATGGCACAGTCGGAAGTTGAAGGTATTCGTCGTGAGATATCCGAAGAAGTGTTGAAAACCATGCTTGGCGTGGCCACCATGGGGTTATCAGTAGTCCTGTGGCCCCATCGTAGACTATCTTCGATATTACTCTCATAATGAGGGGAATCGGAGGGAAAGCGTAAAAGTTCATATTGTCCCAGAGGATCATAAAAGCATCCCCCGATGATCCTTGTCTGATTCCCGCTCTCGAGCAAAAATTCTCACATACCCTGTTCTGCCGGGTAGCGAACAAGTCCATGTCCGGATGTCCCCAGTGATGGAAGAGTTGGTCGCATATCTGTCGATCCAGTTCCCATTCGTGGGATGTCGACATTTGTCTGCTTAGAAGATCGGCCTTGACATTGTCCATACTGGCTAGATGTACTGCTACAAGTGCAATGTCTCTCGGGATGCACCAATTCCATATTTGCATCGATAGCCGAGCCCGCGTAGGCAACTTCGTCCTGCCTTGTTTGTTCAGATAAAAGACTGTAGCAATGTTGTCCGAAGTTATCTGAACTACTCGGTGCTGAAGAACATCCTCGAACGATCATAGAGCCTTGAATACTGCCAGAAGTTCCAGGAAATTGATATGATTCCTGGACTCATGTCGATTCCAAACTCCTTAAGTGCGTAGGCCGGAACACAGTGCTCCCCATCCCAGCAGAGATGCATCGGTACTGAGAGTCACTGTAGGGCACCGAGGTCGGAATGGAACTCCAACGTTTAAATTGGCTGGAACTGTCTACCATATCAAAGATTGTAGAACGGAGGATGGGAGCCGAATCAACTTTGTAGGCAAGTCCTTTTGTGGTTGAAACATCTTGTTGAAGTAGAGCTGGAGGGGGCGAAGCCGAAGCCTGGCCTATGGGATGACGGCAACCGACGTGGCCATGTGCCCAAAGAGTCTTTGGATAGATCGAGCAGGAACCGTCCCTTCTCGTTGCGTTCAATGGATGTGTCGAGCAAGAGTGCGCTGTCTGTCTTGCGGAAGGAATGCCTTCGCCACCATGGAATCCAGACGAGCTCCGATGAAACTGATCATCTGTGCAGGAACAAGAGAGGATTTCCCTCAATTAATGCAAAGTCCAAGATCCTGCAGCAAGGTGCAGGTCATATTTATAGAGGAAAAAAGTCCTTCTCTGGTCTGAGATACTAATAACCAATCATCGAGATAGGGGTATATTTGAACGCCACGTTGTCGGAGGTATGCGCAGACCGGAGCCATGCACTTTGTAAAGACCCTCGGGGCGGTAGCCAGCCCAAACGGGAGCACAGTGAATTCGAAGATTTCAGAAGCAACAGCAAAACGGACAAAACGCCTATGACACGAATGGATCGAAACGTGAAAATAGGCATCCCTCAAGTCCAATGAGGCGAACCAGTCCTCTCTCCTCAGCAACGGTAGAATATTCTGAAGGGTGGTCATCCGAAATTTCTTGGGTGTTATAAATTTGTTAATAGTTCTCAGATCCAATATTGGTCGGAGACCTCCATCCCGTTTCGGGACTGTAAAGTATCTAGAATAGAATCTGTGGAGTCCTTCAGGTAGAGACAAGCAACGAACCGCTCCTTTAGAAAGGAGCTGACGCACTTCGTCTAACAACACTGGCGAGCATGGGGTAAACCGGATCGGACTCGATGGAGGAATGATGTCGAATTCTATTCGATATCCGTGCTGAATGATGGGTAACACCCACCGATCAGATGCCAGGAAGCACTTCCTGAGGGTGTGGAATGGACCCAGGGTCAGGACCCTGAGGGTGTGGAATGGGCTTCCACGAGAGGTCGTTGAGGCTCCATCGGTGCAGGTGTTCAAGGATAGGCTGGATGTCCACATGGTGGGCATGTCGTGAGCGGAGCCGGCTGGTGCCGGAGGTCAGACTAGATGGCCCGGGAGGCCCCTTCTGACTCGCTCTGTTTCTATGTTTCTGTGTGATGGACTCCCAAATGGGGGTTGGCCTTTCAGCCAGTCCCCAAATGAGAGAGAGGAAGGTGGGGTTGGGAGCAGAGGAAAGGTTTGCCCGGCCCATCAGCACTGGCATTTATCACCGTCAAAGCGGCGGTGGCCTTGTTGGAATTGCTGAGGTGGTTGTTGTCTGCGGCATTGTTGGCAGTGCTGTGGCTGTTGTCGAGGCTGGTATTGCTGCTGGTATTGTGGACGGGTTCACTACCACTTACGTCGAGGCTGAGGCTGTAACTCCATGCATCGAGCCGTCATCATAGACTCGTGAATCTTCTTCAATTTGTGGTCGGTCTTTGCGTTGTAGAGTCCGGATCCGTCAAAGGGCATCTCGATTCTCCTCTTCATCTCCTCCGGGAAGTTGCAATTACACAACCAAGCATATTGCTGGAGGGATATGGCACCGACTAAGGCCCTCGAATCGGCATCCACATGGTGTCTGGCCGTGGAGAGCTGTTGTATTGCGACCTGCATGGCCTCCTTTACAAAAACCCTTGCAAGGTCGCCTTGGTTATCTGGGAGAACGGCAATGATGTTGTCCAGCCGCTGCATTATAAAATACTGGTAATGCGCCAGTGTCCCCTCATAGTTGGAGATTTGCAGGCCGAGTCCAGAGGCCGCATAGACTCGGCGAGCGAGGGAGTCGAACTTCCTCCCTTCCTTGTCACGGGGTGCGGTGTGACCCCGTGACTCCCAGCCCTGAGAAGACTCCACCATGACCAAGTTCGGCCTAGGGTGACATAGGAGGAACGGAATGTCCCCCTCCCGAACCTGGTACAAGGCTTAATATCTCCTTTAAGTTGGTTGAGGGTGAGCCGGGAGGTCCCATGGCTGAGTCATCGCTTGGCGCAGAGTTGTGATAAGCGGTAAAGCAATGGAGGTCGATTGTTTACCCCGGACCACACTGTAGAAGCAATCGGTGCTCAGACCGGGCTGTTGCTGAGCCTCGATCTCCAGCGACCGAACCAGCCTGGACATCAACCCTGCAAAGGAGATGTGCGGCTCTTCTGGTGATCCGGGGCCCTGAGATGTAACCGCAGCATCAGGTGAAGTCGAATCGACCTCAGACTCATCCGAGTCCATCCAATAAGGAGCTGGAGGAAGAGTCTCCTGGTGACACTGATCTACCGCTCTCCCTAGGAGGTGCCAGTGGAGCATCTCTCAGATCCGAAGAATGAAAGCGATCTTGAGGAGCTGGTGGAGAAGGCTGGTCTCAAGAAACCGGGTAGTAACCGCCGGATTGGTAGTCAC